AGGAACTCCCAAAGCATAGGTATTTAGTCAATCACCAGAATCACATGGTTGGCCGCCGATTCCTGGCGACTCTCCTCGGATGCTTACGGGAGGAATCATGTCCTTCCAGTATGAACAGTGGGCCAATCCCCAATCCATGAGGGCCAGACTCAGGCGGCCATGGCAAACGACCCGAACAGGGACGATCTGTGGGCGGACGTTCTGCGTACCTGGAACCGATGGTCCCGAAGACCACGGACCAAACTCCGGCCAAGCCAGCGGTCATTCAGATCTGCTACCAGGTTCTCGAGCACCAGCAGGGCTCAGTCTAAGTCTTCTCAGTGCTGGCCGAGCCTGCCGCCCTCCGCTCAACGAGCTAGAATCTCGCACTCTGAACCCGAAAAAGCTTCTGAAAGCAACAACATCAAACCCGAAACCTTTGCACACCAAATCCTTACCGAATCTCCAGAAAGGCAAGCACATGTGGTTCGTCATTGAGGGCTCCTTTGCCTACACCTGGCATGGGGAAGTGGAGAAGCCGATGCCCCAGCTTGGGTCTTCAATTCGAGGATCGTCGATGTTAAGATGTACTGCCGACAGGGACGAGGATTGAGGATGCGTAGGGTGTGATATTTAGGATATGCGGGGCCTCATAGTTCTCAGTCTGAAGGCCCTGCCTCTGTGTCTCTGTGTCTCTGTGTGTGTGTGTGTCTGTCTCTGTCTCTGTCTCTGTCTCTGTGTGTGTGGGCACTTGGATCCCTGCGGCTCAGGGATTTCGTCGGAGTTTTAAGCCGGACCCTGTCAGTGGAATCTGCAAAAGAAGCTGCTGGTATAGACAGCCTGGTATCAGAATGAGGTCATGATCTCAATATGGCCTGACACCCTACACCCATGATTCAAAGTCCTTAAATTACGGTGCTGAAGGCGGGGGCGCCATTTCTATTTGTGCAACTTCCAGGTTCTGCCGCAGGGGCTTCCAAAACCCTACACCTTAGGCCAGGATGATCACGCCAACCTTAAGGGGATGCTGTGGCGTACCCTGACCCCCGCAACTTAGAAACCCTGACTGGCCAGAGAAACACTCCCTACCTTGAGCCTCCATAGTAGTTCCTTTTTGAGATTATAGTTTCCAGCCCAGTCCTGCGCTTGGTCCAGTTTATATTCCCTAGCTCAGGGATTGTTTTCTGTGTGTAGATCGTCCTTGTACCCAGCCGGGAAGGTAGGGTCGCTCACAACCCCAACTAAGGTACTTGTACGCCTGCTTACTAGCTCCCCTAAATCTGCTTAGGGTTTAGGGTTCAGGGTTTAGGGTTTATAGGGCCGTAAGCCCTAGCCCTGAACCCTAAACCCTGAACCCTATGCTGAATCCTAAACCCTGAACCTTAAACCCGAACCCTGAAACCCCAAACCCTGGACCTGTCCCTATCCCTCCAAGGACCTCATAGTTAGGGCCCTAAACCCCTTAAGGACCCCATAACAAGGTCCCTGGAGGCATAAAAGTAAAAGCCACAAAGTTGGAATATGATTATCCTAAACCCTTTATGGTAAATTGCAAGATATCCTACCCTGAAACCATATTCCAACTTTCTGGAGTTCCCTTTAGGGTGTGCGAGGCATACTTAGAGGATCATGGGACTTAGTAAGTAGGTTATAATTGGGGTTATAATAAGTCCCCTAAGTGGGGTTATCCTAATTATAACTTACTTGTAATCTTACTTACTAAGTCCCATGAGCCTTCAAGTATATAGGGTGTGCTCGTATCCGAGGTTAGGTCCGGGTGCATGGCTGGCGGAGTCGGCGATCTGGACCAACGCATGGTGGTACCGTGGGAAGTTACAGGCAGAGCCGCTGGACAGTGTCAACCTAACTAGGGACCCAAAAAGCACATAAGCATAAGCATGTTATGGGGATATCCCTTCCTTAATGGGCTTCATTATAACGGGGTTGATATGGGATATCACTATCCTATTTTTTGCTTATGTGCTTTTCTGGGGACCTACCTAAGCCCTGCGTCAGAGGGCTTGTACCCATATAGTATATGGGAGCATGTACCGAAATGTATATACTTTAACTTTTAAGCCCCAGAGTGCCTAAATAGGGACTGCTTTCAGGTCAAAGTCTGCGATTTGGGTGCATGGACCCTAAGGGTCAGCTGTACTCTGGAACCATTCAGATCCGACAGCTACGCCTCTAGAGCCCATCCAGTCAATCCGGTTCGTCAGGCCAAGTGTAAAGCCAAAAGCATTTGGCCCTATGAACCAGTTCTACATTTTAAGCTCCAGACTGTATTTAAATCCTGAACACAAGCAGGCCAAGTGCCTCTGTCTAATAGCCTAAAGCCACACACAACACTAAAGAGCAACAGCAGAATGTGAAAGGGTATTTTCCTTTGAAATACCCGAAGTCTAGACTCATGTCCTTGCAACCAACTCCCACGTCCAGACTCAGACTTGTGTCTTTATGAGCCCCGAACTCAAGACACGAACACGAATCACCGTAACCCCTCAGCCCTAAGCCCCAAACCCTCAATTTTCACTATAAAACTATGTGCCTCCAAGCAGCAGCAACTCCAACAATTGTTCCGGCTGTGCTCACACTCCCGTATTTAATTCTGGATATAGGTACTCAGACTTGCATGTAATCCACTGGTAAACGTGAAGACCATAACCCAAAGCCTCAAACCTGAAGACCACCAAACCCAAGGAAGACACCAAAACCCTGCGCAATACCAGGTGGTATCCCTACATTTTCACCCTACAATGCTTTGTAAAGCCCGTAGCGTGACACTTTTGCAAGCTCTGGGTGGTGTCGCTGAGGTGAGAGAGAGTCTAGCAATCAGAGACGCCAAGGGTTCCGGTTTAGGGTTCAGGGGTTAGTTTGGGGTTCAGGGTTTAGCCCTGCGCCCGTCCGTCGACAAATTCGAGGCGCTGGCGGCTCTGTGCGTGCCGCATCGTGGCAAGAGACATCGTCGTACACAGCAGACGCTGACGTAGATGCGGCGAAGCAAACCGCCAAACCCTCAACCCCTAAATTGGCAGTACCTATAGTCTCCATTGTAGTTCCTTTTTGGGGTTACTTTTTAGGATTCTGAGTATAAAATTGGTTAAACCAAAAAAAGGAACTACAATGGAGACTATAGGTAAGCCCTAAACTCTGCCTGCGCACTTGACATGGGAGTTGCCTGCAGGGTCCGAAGCTTCAAGGGTTTCAGCATTCGCCAGGAACGGCACGGCTCGAACCCTAAAAAATTAAAGTAAAAGCCAGAAAGTTGGAGTATGATTATCCTAAACCCTTTATGGTAAATTACAAGGTATCCTACCCTGAAACCATGTTCCAGCTTTCTGGAGTTCCCTTTAAATCCGAAAACCGAAGCCCTGGATCCTACCCTAAAACAGCGGAATCCCTATTTGCGTCTGATCATGACCGGCTGGGAGGCTTCCAGCACCAGTGGCAGGCATCGGCCCCAGCGTTTCATTTTAGGGTTTCAGGGTGTAGGGTTTAGGGTTCGGGGTTTAGGGTTATGGATTTTAGGGTCTTGGGAACTGAAGGGTTCGTTTGTGGGATACTTGGACCCTGTGAAATCTACCTGTAAAGTTTTCGTGTACTTCAGCATGTTTCCTGACATACATCTATCCTGAACCCTACAAACCCTAAACCCATGAAGAGAAAGCAGGACAACATTATAGAAGGGACCCTTTTCTGAATTCTTTGACGGGGCTTACAGGGAATCTTAAAGCCCCCTACAAGGGTCCTAAGTAATTTGGATTGTGGGTTCGTTTACCGAGTTTCCCTTGAGGGCTCCTTTAAGGGTGTTGGTGTTTTCTTGCGGGTACTTTGAGGTTCAGGTGATCTGGCAAGTAGGGTTAGAACATTTTAGAAGTACCAAACTTGTGTAATTCGTGGGTATATGCAGGATTTGGCTTCATGGTTGAATGAATTTGTTGATGGTCGGGGTTTCGGTGACGTTTTTGGTAGCTTGCACAGCCGTTGTTCTGACTCTAGAGTGGTGTTGGATTTCCAGCCTTAGCGGTGCATGGGGTTGCAGACCACCCTAATCCCTAGGTCCCAGGCCGTCCAAACCCTACACTCTGTGCCCCGGTGCATTATCCCAAAGGCAAGTAGGGAGTAGTTCACCAAAATGGGGCTTCAGCCAGTAGGGTGCTTAGGATTCCTGCCTCTTGGGGTAGAGCACCAGAATAAGCGGAAGCCTCCAGAAGAAAACCGACATTCCTCACGCCAAGCATGCATGAAAAAGAGAGTCTAGGATGCCCAGTAGAACCCTTATTCCCTTTTTGTAGTCCTAGGTTCCTTATAAAGTTACCCAATGCCAAAAAGAGAGGCCTTTTTATTCTTAGGTTACTGGGTATCCTAGGAGTCCTTTTTTTGCAATGGTCCCGTGAATCGGGCTCCAAGACATCGGCTTTAGGGTGGTCCTTCAGCAACCAGTCCCCAAGCCCTAAACCCCCAAACCCTACACCATTAATTAAAAATCCTGCTCCCTAAAGTCCCCAACCCCGTAAACCCTAACACCCTAAAGCCCCGAACCTAAACCCTAAACACCCAATCACTAAAAGCCCTAAAGACCTAAACCCCTAAGCCTCTCAACAACCAGTCCACTGCGGTTGCAATGGCTCAGGAGCCTTTGGCGTTATTTAATTTGCCGATACTAACCCTAAACCCTAAACCCTAAACCTCTAACCGTAAGCCCGAGCGACCACTATGTAAAACACAGGTAGGCAGAAAGATGGATGAGTAGATAGACAGATAGTGAGACAGATAGATGTATAGATGCACATACTCCTGTTTCTAGTTTGTATATATGTATATTGTTTATACGCAGATATTTACAATTAGTGTACATATACACACATTTATGCTGGCGGGCACATCTGTTTGTCCAAAGTCTCCAAACTCTGACTGTACCCGAACTCCTACGGAAAAGCTAGAAAACCAATAGACCCTGAACCCTGAACCCTGAACCCCAAACTCTAAACCGAAAGCCCTGAGCCCTAAACCTTTCGATGGCCTTGCGATGGCTCTTGGCCACAGTGGGCGTTGCCCATGCCACGCCCTGGCAGCCAGTCGCTGGGACAGGTGCATGGGGAATGCTCCGACTGGTACTGCTTCGCCTCCTCCTCCTTATCCCTCTCTGCTCCTCCTCTTACTTACTGCTGCTACTAACACTACCTCTGCCTCTACCTCTGCTCCTTCTCCTCCTCCCACCCCCACTCCTGCTCCTACTCCTCCTGCTCCTGCGACTACTACCACTACCCCTTCTGCTGGAACTCCTGCTGCCTGCTGCTACTACTACGACCACGACGACGAGTACTACTACGACAACTACTACCACGACGACGACTGAGAGGGGTGAGAGAAACTTGGGCCCCGAGCGAACACTGCCTCACTGTCACGCAAAACCACCCAACCCCCTGGGCATCAACATGGCCCAAAAGCCTTATATAGTATGGTCTTTGGGCCCAAAAGCCTTAATACATGAGGCCTTAGAGCCTTGGGGGAACCATGTTCTACGTATTTCAGGCCCAGGCCCCTTAAGCTTTGTTATGCACGCTGACGCTATTCCGAAAAGCAAGCGTAAGTCCTAAATTGTCCGTAAGCTCTACGAGGACGACAGCAAAGCTGTCTCAAGATGCTGATACTCTGCAGAAACCAGGCCAGAAACCCTCGACATATTGCCCAGAAAGCCCTAAACCAGGTATGATTAAGCACTCCCACAGAATGAAAGATCAGGGCGCAGTGGCTTTGGTGGAGCGAGCCACCGAAGTTTGGTGCAGGCACGGGGCATCCGGCAGCCAGAGAGCCCAGTACCCCCAGTGACTCAATCAAGGGAATATACATTAAAGTCTAGGGGTCTGAATATACGCTCAATGAAGGCAATTTACGTTAAAGAAGATCCTTAACGTCCATAGGCGTTTGAATACAATGTTTGTGGAGGTATTTTATACATACTTTAGGCCCTGAATTACGGGAATGTACCTTAAAGATCCTTAACGACTTATGCTTTGAATACCATGTGCTTGAAGGTATTTTCCTCGATCATGGCTTTAAGATCTTTGATGTCTATAGCGGTTAGAATACCATGTTTGTGAAGGTATATCTCCCTAAGGCCAGGGTTTTTTGGGGAGCTCTTCGGTAAGCTCCATCACACCCTCTGCAGGGACTTACCGTAGAAGCCAGAAAGTTGGAAACTAAATAGACTGAACCCTTAAGAGTAGGATAATGTATAGGGGGTCCAAGCAAAACTTGTCCTCAATCCGGTTTCCAACTCTTGGGTGTCAGTCGGGTCAGTCTACTTTTGAGGTGCATGGGCTCAGGGTTTTCAGGGCCTTCCTCGTCAAAGGCTGTGATGCTTCAAAGATTGGCTGTCTGGTTCTTGGTATACCATCAATACTTATATTGCTTCTCATTCGTAATGAATTATGGAGACTATTATTGGGGATGATATAGAGACTATTATAGGGATCTGTCCCCCCATTCCCCACGAAACACCAGGGAGTTGGTTTCCACTTGTGGTGGGATCCGAAGGGTGGGTAGGTAGATACTTGACGCCAAAGTAGCGAGCTCGATTGGAGACTGTTCGAACCGGAGCTTCTGAACCTAAGCAAGTGGTTTATTAAGGTCGGGTCCTATTGTATGCCTTAAGGACGAAATGAACCCTAAAACGGTTTAAGGTTCATATACCATATAGGGATTCATAGTATATGGGTATAGGGCCCCTACTTTTAAGGGTCATTTGGTCCTTCAGGTGAACAGAGATCAGAGACTTGAAGAAGAGCAAAGATCCCGAGACATTTGGATGATAGACAGAGAAGGAACAGAGCTTTGGAGGATCCCCAACCTTAACAGCGGACCTCCTAAGACTAGAGACCGCTGAACCCCCGACCCTAAACACTAAACCCGAAACCCCCAACCCGAAACCCCAAACCCTAAGCCCTAAACCCCCAACCCTAAACCCTAAATCCTAATTCAGCAGGAGAAAGGCCGCCATTGCAGGTTAAAAAACCCTAACTATGCCCCAAACAATGAGTCCTAAGCCCTACAAAAGCACTCGGAAGGATTTCGGCGTGGAGAGCCGCTTGGGATCGCCATGGGGCCTGGCCTTCCACGAGGCCTTGAGAATTTCTCGGTATTTTGTGTATGAGATGAGGGTTTAGGGTTTAATGGTATTTTATAGGGTGTTTGTAGGGGCTATGTGTATGAGATGAGGGTTTAGGGTTTATTGGTATTTTGTAGGGTGTTTGTAGGGGCTACAATAAGGATTTTTGCGGGTTTTGGATGGTTTATAGGTGTTTTTTGTGGTCTCATAAGGTTTCACGGGGTTTTAAAGCGGGTCGTAGAAGGGACTTATGGGGTTCCTTTGAGGGTTTAAGTTTAGGGTTTAGGGTGGTAGCCAGGGTTTCATGGGGATTGATGGTGGGGCATGCGGCATACATATATAACGGTAATGAGCCTTATGAGGACGTTTAGGGGTGTTGGCAGGGTCTTGTACGCTTTTGCGGAGTTCCCACCGTTAACCCTAAACCCTAAACCCTTAGTACATCATGACCCACCTGCAGGATGCTACCTCGCTGTGACACTGCCGTTCCATTCGGAAGTGGCTGGGGTGCTATCAGGGTGCTATCTGAGGCCTACAAGGATTGTAGAATAGTTCGGGGGCGTCACCTGTTTTTCCGACTTCCTGCCTGTTTGAAGGGTATGGGGTTTCGGGTTTAGGGTCCTGTAGTTCCGGTACCTCCGAGTTTCTGGAACGGACTCTGCGCAGCAGGGTGTGCGGGTACAGGTGTTGAGCTCCATGTCCTGCTAGGACCCTCTTCACTTAGGGGTACTTAGAAATATTTTTTATTTTTGGTTATTATAATCCCTAAGAAACAGCTAAAATCATAATTTTTGCTAGGGTTCTAAGTTCAGTATAGTTCAGGCCAGGTAAGACATGGAAAAACCAAGCCTCTGCAGCGTAGGGTCTGTAGCACTGAGGGCCCAAGCACCGAGTCAATATATAAAATTCTACGTTTACCCAGCGACTACTAGTTAGCTACATAGCCACAACCATCTCACGATTGGGTCCCTTGAACCCTTCAGGCAGTGTTTTGCAATTCGCAGGCAAACCAGCGTCTACTGATCGCGGTGCCTCGAAAGCATCTTCGAGTTCATACATAGGGATCGGAATATTTCGTAATGGTAACCCCTTATTATCAAAGTCTATAGTTATAGTACGATGTGTCCGGGCTTGGGTTTGCTAACCCTAAAGAGCCACAGCTCTCAAGCGCTGTAAAAAACCCTCCGCCCTAGACCCTAGAGCCGAAAAGCCGAGGGGTCCCTTTAAACCCCTAAATCCCTACAAACCCTAGCAACCCTAAAAACCCTTAAAGCCCCAAACCCCAAAACCCCTCAACCTGAACCCCTCAACCTAAAGCCCAAAACCCCTAAACCCCTAAACCCCAAAACCCCAAAACCCCAAAACTCCTAAACCTAAACCCTAAACCCCAAAGCCTCTAGACCTAATCCCCAAAACCCCTAAACCCCAAAACCCCGAAAGCCCTAAAGCCCAAAAAACCCCAAGGACTCCCTGAACAACGTCATCCGGAGCCTCGACTTCGAGACGGGCCTCCTGGAGCGGCGAGATTTGGGTTCCCCTAAGAGGGTTTTGGGTGTAGGGTTGGTGTAGGGTTGAGGGTTTTGGGCTGGAAGTTTCGGGATTAGAGTTTAGGGTTTTGGGTTTTGGGCGTGAGGTTTAGGGATTAGAGTGATTAGAGTTCAGGGTTTAGGCTTTTGGGTTTGGGAAAATTTAGGGATTAGGGTTAACTTAAAGGATAGTAGGGTTTAGGGTCTAGGGTTCCCTCAAAAGGTTCATTGTTTAGGGTGTATACGGCTTATGGTCAGTTGGTTTCCTCTTTTTTCAAAAGGGGTGGGGTGCAGGGATCCCCTAAGAGTAGGGTTAAGCTTCTTGTTTTTGGGTGAGTTGAGGAACCGATAAGGAGGTTAAGTTGGGGCTTTCTGTATGCAGGGTTGAGGTCACGAGATTTATGGTGGTTGTTCATATCCAAGTGGTTTGTGGATTTGAGGGTTCAGGGCTTTAAGATCGAGAGTTCAAGGTTTAGTGAAACCCTACATGATGCCTCAAATCGTCGGGTTCAAGGATGGTACAGCCACCTTGCATTCCCTGCGAGGAGACTGTGGCCGGGACTGGAGAGGCCGATCGGCGATGTGCTGTGCACTTGGGTTCATACCGTTCAGGGTTTACGGGACATCAAGAAATCCGTGATTCTGAATCGCCCTCATGGAAAAGCCTTTGTCGGGAGCATATTTAGGAGCCAGAGTTCTCTGTGTCAGCTACAACAAATGCATTTAAGTCTCCACAGTAATGTCAGCTGCCGCATAGAAGCCCAGCGACCTATTGTGTCTCGGTACTTCACAGAGAGCCCCCTGTGTCAGTTTAGTACAGCCACCCCGTTACACAGTCAACCGGGCTTCTACTTAGGGATGAAGGGTCTCACTAAATCGCATCATAACTACCGAGTACCTCGGACTCACTTGGGTAAGATGTAGACAAAGTGACTATAGTCAGATATAGTTGCCTTTCGTCTCACTGCACTTACGAAGTCTAGTAGAGTTCAAGCTCTAAACCCCAAACCCCTAAGCCCTAAAGTAAAAGCCAGAAAGTTGGAATATGATTATCCTAAACCCTTTATGGTAAATTACAGGTTATCCTACCCTTGAACCATATTCCAACTTCTGGAGTTCCCTTTAAGATTGAGAGGATGGCTTCGCAGACGGCGGGGCTGCCTCCGCGCTCTTCAGTCGATCTGCTGCATTTCGGGGCCCAAACCTGGGCTTTGGAGTACCATACTTTAATACTTTTTTGGGACCTGTTACTTAAAGGGAACTAACTATAAAATCAAAGTCTATACTTTTTTCCCTGGTTACTTCAAGGCCCAGAAACAGTGCATGCTTTTTGTTCGATACTTGTTTGGGGTTTAGGGTGTAGGCTTGACAGTTGAGGCTTATTTTGGCAGGCAAGGACCCTGTAATTGTGATTGGAATGCCTGTCCTTCGTGATGACCGTTTTGTGCTTATGCGCTTCCGGCGGCAGGGTGAAGTGTGACAGCTTCCGTAAACGAGGCATCATGACGGCACCCTTGCACTGCCGCATAGGGATCGAACAATTTGTAAAGGTCTGCCTTAGGGTTCCCGAAAAGATTGATGCTATAACATACATTCCGAGGAGGCCAGCTCTTGTAGCGGCAGGTTGTGGTAGCCATAGGTATCTAGTCTGCTGCACGAAGAGGCACGAAGAAGCTCGCAAGTCTACCTGGAAGAAGCAGGCGTCAAAGTTGAGAACCTCTTGGAGGTCGTCAACACAGGGATCTGAATAGTTAGGCTCGTAGTTTAATACTTTATTACCACAGTATACCACAGTCCTTACAAGCCTGTATTCTACTACACCCCCCAAGCCCACTAAGGCCCCCCTATATAAAATCCAGGGCGGTTGAATGAGCCGTCACGTTTCCCAAGTACATCTAAACCCTAAACCTGTCTTTCACTTTCCTGGCCAAGATCTGCCTACGGGCCTGGCATTAGATGCACCGAACGATGTCCTGCAACCTGGCCATGGATCTCGACGTTCGCGACAGGGTTTGTGATGCTGCCAAGCACCGCTTAACTTAGGGGTACTTAGAAATATTTTTAAATTGTTGTTGGTTATTATAATCCCTAAGCAACAGCTAAAATTATAATTTTTGCTAGGGTTCTAAGTTCAGTATAGTTAAGCTTAAGGATCCCAAACCCGACACTCCACGCGCCGGGAGCCCTATAATTTTTGAATCCTTCTAATCATTTAGATTATAATCTAAACCTCCAACCCTCCTGAGCCCAATGCCTTATGCCCATACATAATACAAACCCGAACCAACCTGGAAACTGAATCTTACGACCTCAATCCCTTGAAACAGTTGCCCTGAACTCTCTTCTCTCTTACAGCCCGGTTGGAGGAGCGGAAATGCCATCATTACTTTGGTCTTCGGGGTTTAGAGTGTACGGGTCAAGACTTAAGTAAGACTTTATGGTAGGGAGTTCTTGAATACTACTGAATACTGGGGTGTTGGATCCTTGGTTTCAACCCCGCGCTGTGGGGATCAAAATTCTCTTTCAGAATGTGTCTAACTGTTGATGGACAAAATCCTGCATAACCCATTATAAGGAATATACCATAGTTCCCTTAGTTTAGAGTTTAGAGTCCTTAGGGTCATGCAGGATTTTGTCCATCAACAGAAGCATTCAAGGGTCATTTCATCAGAGGGTCTTCATTTTGTGTCTGCTGTTTCGCAAGCTCCGGTACAACAGGATACCATATGGAGCAGTACACAGGGCTTCATCTGAAGCAGTAGTCCACGATCACAGTTTCTAGGCTACCTATTGTTCCTGCGGGTACAGTTGAACACAATACAATATGTAGCTATACCCGAGCCAGCCTTCAGAAATAAGTAAACACCTCAAGCCATGTTCGTGATCTACCGCATCCCGGGGGGATTAGCTAGGTTTACTGTGACTTCAGGAGCTATTTACTGAATTAGGCTCTCTTGGCTATGCAAGCATTGTTTCAGGTGCCTTGTGGTTTTGCAGATGTAGCAGACCAGACACCTACCTAGACCCCCAAAAGTAGGTAAACTAATGGCCCACAACCTATAGAAGGCTATTATTCTACATGCTGCTGGGGTCCAGGTAAGCTGTCTACATGAGCTGCCAAGGTATGTGGCAGACATGCGAAACCATCGGGTGCGAGCTGTGGACCGGCAGCAAGTGCTTCCTTATCTGCGCAGTATACACCCTAAACCTATGCCTCCAGGGACCTTATTATGGGGTCTAGGGCCCTAACTATGAGGTCCTTGGAGGGATAGGCTAAGCCTTAAACCCTAAGCCGTGTAATTAGTCAGTTAGTGAACCAATACATAGTTTTAGTCGAATATGCCCCAAAACCATCTTCCTATTGCACGGAGTTCCCTATGCAAGCCCCTAAACCCTGAACTGTATGATATAGATCCGTTGAGCCAGAGTCCGGACTGAAGTTTCAGCCTGCTATCTTCAAGCCTCATATACCGCAGCCCGACTGTTACAAAGGTTTACTAGGTTTAGGGTTTAGGCCGACTGCTACAAAGGTTTACTAGCTTCCCCGGTACCCTTTTGCCCTTTGTCTTCTAGGATTGCCTTATGAAAACCCAAAGATTGGTACACAAAGGGTCTTATAGATCCCTTATAGTAACCCTTATAGACCCCTTTTAAAGGAGCTCTAGGACCCCTCATGATTAAGGGCTACTGGGGAAGCCAGCATTAGAGTGTAGCCCGTTTCAACTGTCGAAACCCGAAGTCCTGAGCCTCAAGGCTTAAACCCTAAACCCTAAAGTAAAAGCCAGAAAGTTGGAATATGGTTTCAGGGTAGGATACCTTATAATTTACCATAAAGGGCTTAGGATAATGATATTCCAACCTTTCTGGCTTCTACTATAACCCGATTCAACAGTTTGAAACCGAAATCCTAAGCCTGAAAAATTCAGTCTTGAAAGCCTCTCGTTGCCCAGGTATCCCTGAGTCCCGGTCGGTACTACCAGGCGCCCATTCTCACTCTTTTTCTGGGTTGCGGTTAAGGAACTTCTGTAAAGCGAATATAATGCGGGGTTCCTTAAAGGTTCCGTTCCTATAAGGGCTTAGGGCTTGGGGTGTAGGGTTTATTACGTTACTATAACTAATAACAAGGAAACACCATTATTGACCATATATCCCTATTCTGGTAATTAACTTACATAAATTAAGTTCCTAAACAGCAACCCAGTTTGTGTGAGACCTTTGATTTAGTCTTACAAAGGGCTAGAGCTCTAGGATTGCAGTTTGGAGTGCAGATGTTTGCGGGCGAGGGTTCATCCCCACATAGCCCACATGTTTGATGGTGTATACAATCAAAGGGGAGAAGGAGGGACCCTTAATAAGGACCCCTAGGTTTATACCCTTAATATAGCCATTATATACCCACTATATAGCCCGTTATAGGGTAGGGGTCCCCATTAAGGGTCCCTCCTTTTCCCCTTTGATTCAAGGAAAGTAAGCAGAAGGAGGCGCCCCGCAAACGGTATAGGGTCTCGAGGCGGTAAGCGCTTAGAATACTCCCAACTACCTAAGATGAGGATAAGCGAGACCTTGCTGATTTCTGAAGCGACAGAAGTGCTCAACCCGAAAGTGATAGAATACCCTCCACAAATCGCCCCAAGCCCTCAAGCCTAAGCTCCACACGTACGGCTCAAGATTCCAGCCCTACAGCATGAAACCTGCTTGAGGGTTGTCATGGTCTATCTAGGCCAACTTAAAGGAACCCTTTATAGGAACCCTTTATAGGACTCCTTTGCCCTTATAGAACCTTTAAAACGGAACCCTCATAGAACCCTTAAAAGGAGCCCTTTATAGGAACCTTTCATACGACCCCCTTTAAAGGAGCCTTTCTAGAAGCCCTAAAAAGGAACCCTCATAGAACCTTAAAAGGAGCCCTTTATGGGAACTCTTCATAGGACCCCATTAAAGGAGCCCTTATAGAAGCCCCTAGAAAGGAACCCTCATAGAGCCCTTAAAGGAGCCCGTATAGAAGCCTTAAAAGAACGCTCATAGAGCCGAGCTGGAATCATTTATGGAGGGGCTCTTGAGACCCCAAGCTGTGGCAACTGGGTGTGGTCTTTAACCATTGCTCTCTCTACCACTCCGGAGTCGAAGCCACGCATCTGGGATGTTCGCAAGCAGCATGGGCCATTTGGGGATGCCACAGAGGCATGGTTGTTCCATCTATACCAAGAACACTCGCCGGCATCCCTGGCCACGGTGGCGCGCTACCCCGAGGTGGCGTCCCTGCTGCACACGCTAGTGAGGGACATTCCGTCCTCCATCTATTATCGACTTCACTGGAAACAGAACTGGCTGTCCTTTCAGGAGATCTTAAACCCGTGGCTGGATTTCCACTCTCCATTGATGCTCGAAGATGGGGCCCTTAAAGAAGCTCTAAAAATACAGACGCTCTAAAAAGGAACCCTTCATAGGACCCTCTTAAAAGAGCCCTTATCCCTTACAGGAGCCCTTTGTAGAAGCCATAGAACCCTAAAACGGAGCCCTTTAACGGAACCCTTCATAGGACCCCCTTAAAGGAGCCCTTGTAGAACCCCTAAGGGACCCCCGTAAAGGAGCCCTTATAGAAGCCCTAACAAGGAACCCTCATAGAGCCCTTAAAGGAGCCCTCATAGCGGTCTTCTGTTGCAGCCAGGCCGAAGAAAACCGAAGCAGCGGCGGCTTCACTTTCGACACAGTCAGGCCGGAGGGCTTGAACAATACTGACTTGGGAGGTTGCAACAGTTTTGGGTACCTTAATTTGGTGTCCTTATGATACTGCTGATGGACAAAATCCTGCATTAGCCATTTATAAGGAATATACCATAGTTCCCATATAGACCCCTTAGGGTCACGCAGGATTTTGTCCATCAGCCGTACTGTTCTATTTTCGGCAACTCCCATGTAGGATTCGGGGTGAGGGGCTGCTGGGTTTCTGGGATGCAGGTCTCAGGGTTTTGAGGGTGTAGGATTTATCGCTTCTGGGGTTTAGGGTTCAGGGGTTCTAGGATGTAGGGTTTCGGGCTTCTGGGGGGTTTAGGGTATAAGGGTTCTGGATTCAGGGCCTAGGGTTCCTTCCTAGCTTCAGGCTTCCGAGGCTTGATGTTGGAAGCCTAGTAATGCAGGGCGTTTAGGGGTTTAGGGTTTAGGGGTTTAGGGTTTAGGGGTTTAGGGTTTAAGGGTTTAGGGTTTAGGGGTTTAGGGCGTTAAGCTTGAGGCTTGCGCCACTGTCGGGATCGTCTCCTTTCTCGCCCATGACGCTTGAAAGTTGAGATGTCCGGCGGTCACACATGTCGCGGTCGCTGGTACCCCACAGAGCATTGAGATTGCTCATGATATCACGTACCCTGGGAAGGAGCCGAAACTGCTCCCTCATCGCATGGCATGTGGTATACCGGTACACCTTGAAGACATCAGGGTTCGCACATATGCTTTAAAAACATCAGAAACCCCTACACCCAAAACGTTTAACGACGATAATCGCTCAAACTGAACTGCTCGCAAAGCCGCGTTACCAAAGCACAAGCTCAACCACAAGCCCTAAATCCTACTGAAACCGCCTCAAGTGGAGGAGTCCCAGACACATTGACTTTGAGCCAAGCAGGTACGATTTCTACATCTGCAGCCTTTGGGTACCTCGAAATCAAAGCAAAACCTTGCTGTGAAAGCGAGCGCAGCTGTTTCAGGCTTCATGGCTCGAAGGCCAAAGCTCGGAGTGGTTTTGGAGGGGGGGGGGAGCTCGTTGAGGCAGTAGCAATAGGGAACCCTGGAAGGGGGTGATGCTTAGGGTTTCGGCTCGGGGTTTAGAGGTTCATGGTTTGAGGTCTATGGTTCAGGGTTGTTATCTTTTCACGTTTTGAAACGGAGGCTAGAGGGAGGGGCCATGGGTCCAGGGCTTCAGGGGACAGCCCCTCCACTCTCATGTTGTTACTCATGCCGAAAGCAGCAGGTGAACATAGCAGCAGTCAGAATGCTCAAGGTTCAGAGTTCAGGAACCAGACTTGCAACAAACCCTGAGCCCCAACGCCCAAGCACCCAAGTACCCTCTGTCCTGAAACCTACCTACATGCACCTCAGGCATGTCTGAATCAAGGGGTACTTTGGGAGTGGTGCACCACTAGAAGGTTTCAGGGCTTCGGATCGAGAAATCCGAAGTGGTGTCTCGGATTCAGGTTCGGGTTCGCTTCATTGCGGACTGCAGAAGTCATCCCGGATGCTACCACAACCCTCGAGAGTCCGCCCTCTCATGCTAAAATAGCAAACCCAACAACATTAAGATCGTAATTCCTTACGTTCATTTCCTAACCCTCAGACTGAACAGCCGAACCTCAAATTCCGAAGTCTTGAACCCTCTATCAAGTCCTGTCCTAAACCCTCCTAAACCCTGGACAAGCAGAAATGCCATTTCCTAAGCTCTTGCCGCTAATCCCCCAGCGACACACCCGACCCTCAAACCCCTAAATCTTTCCGTCGGGCTTCCTTGTTATAGTTTATAAGATGACACACCCCAGAACCCTATACAAATCTTCAAGGCCCGTATATTTCCTAAACCCTAAACTGTAAACCTCTAAACCCTTAAGGCTAAATCCTAAACCCCTGAACCCCAGTCCGAACACCCTATACCCTAAACTCCTGAACCCCAGACCCTAAACCCTAAATCCCTGAAGACCCTTACGGACCGTATCTTACACCGCTCACCAGGCTGAGCTCCTTTGCGCCGTTTCGGCCGAGTCTTCCCCGCTCATGCAGGGCTCAGCGTACTGCGATGGTGGCTTGGGCTTGGAGAATACTATAGGGACCCCAAAAGCACATAAGCATAAGCACTTGATGGGGAGATCCCTACCTGGTTGGCCTTCCTTTTAAGGGCGTTTATATGGGATATTCCCCGATTATAGGGGCCGAAGTAAAACCTGTACTATTCTGGGGGGGGTTCCTCAGTTATAAGTAGAGTATGATGGGCCCGATAACTCTATTCTAAGTATTAAGGCCCCTAGATTATAGGCCTTGGGATGAGGCTCAAATACGGGTCCAGTCCAAGTAGCTGTACGGTACATACTGTATCTACTGAGAACATATTGGTACTTTCACTGTTAGTGCGTGTGTGTGTGTGTGTCTCTGTGTGTGTGTGTGTGTTTCTGTGTTTCTGTGTTTCAGTGTGTCTGCGTGTCTGTGTGTCTGTGTGTCTGTGTGTCTGTGTTTGCTTGGGGGGAAAGCCAGACAGACAGAAACAGAGACATACATACAGCTTCAATTACAAGCATAATTAACTATGTATATGTATATATACACACATGCATATATATATATATATATATATATATATATATATATATATATATGCATGTGTGTATATACATTATATATATTATATATATGTATATAATATATACACATATACATGTGTGTATATATACACATGTATATATATATATATATATATATATATATATATATGCCATATGTGTATAATATATATATATATATATATGCATATATATATATATATATATGTGTGTATGTCTATGTTAAACACTCTTCTTGAATTTACACCCTTCAAGCCAGGCCCCTGGACCTTCGAGCCAACCGGTTCCTCGCACGAAGCGTCCCCAACCGCATATAGGGATCCCAGCTGAATTATTTGAAGCCTTCCGTGGAACCCTGGTCAATCCGTACTACGGGACCCAAATTACAACCAACCCCTCTTGAGGCGTTAACGAAATTACAATAAAGAGCCCTAAGTCGGACGGTTTTATCGGGTCCAGGTGAACCCCAAACCTTGACTTTCGGAAGCCTCCACTTGACATGCAAGGCAGCACAGGAAGCGGCTACGCCGAGTTTGTTCTCTCCTTTGAGGAACTCTGCATGGAGTTAGCCAGATTTTACAGGAATTTACAGACATTGATTCGCAGATGTTCGGGTTTAGACTTCAAGGTATTGCAAGCGAACTATAGTTTTAAGAAATATGTGACTTTCGTTGTGGCTTGAGCGGTGCTACACGATTTGACAGGCCTTATGCGCCGTAGATGATCTAAGAATGCCAAAACCTGTTCAATGCTGGTAATATAGGGGTCTAATCATGGCCAATATTCTTCTAGGGGTTCCTTACTATGATTATAGTATCATATACCCCAAACGCTATTCTTGTTGTCGGAGCCCCTGCATTAGATTGGGGATTCCGGGCCTTGGGATGGTGAGGCGCAGATCATGGGCTTGCGTCCACAGGAGATTGCGTGAGTCGGATTTCAAGCAAGGCAACCATGGCCCAAACAGGAAAGGACTTAATTGCAAGGTACTTTTGGGTTTAGGATAGTAAGTAAGTAGGTTCCTATATGGGAGGGTATATGATTATTAGGTACTGCGGTCGGTACTTGGAGGGTCGGGGGACTTAGTAACTGGTTATTTTAGGGACTTATAAGTACCATAACCCCAATTAGGGTCCCTTTTGGGGTACTTAGAAGCTTACTTACTACCTACTTACTAAGTCCCCCGACCCTCCAAGTAGGGTGCAGGGCCCAGCTATGATCAAGTCCTGGGATTAATACAATCGACTCTTATCGACCCAACCTCGAGGCCTTACTAGCAAACTGCGCTCGATTCCATAAATCCCTCCAGCATCAAGAAATCTTTATTGACATCTTTAAACAGATGAATGATGATAAATGAGTATATATATATATATATATGAGTACATATATATATATATATATAATATCCTAAACCCTAAACCCTCTCCCGGCGCCGGAGGACCGCATCGATTTCAACGTCGAGGCAACGGCTGGAGCTGGCGCCTCGACATGTTCGTTGTGGGTTTAAGCAGTTCCTGTTTGGGGTTTCGTACTTAGAATCCTACAAGGTAATCACAAATACCTGCTCTACCCATGGGCTCCGTAGTAGTTCCTTTTTGGGGGTTCATACTTAGAATCCTATAAGGTAAGCCCAACAAGGAACTACTACGTATGGAGCCTATGGGCTTAATTCAACTCAAACTCGGGTAGCACTCTAAACCCTTATCCCTTGCACCCTTTTGCTAAACCCTTTCAACCCTGCATTTCCTCCAAGCCCTCCAGACCCGATCCCTTTATCTCTGTAAACCCTGAGGCCTCTAGACCCAAGCCCCTGGGTCCCCTTCACCCGGGTGGTTGTCAAAATTATGGTTCTTTCTGTGGGTCACTATTATAATTCGGCACCTAGTATTTAGGGTACCCAAAAAAGGACCCTAATTTTGACAACCACCCACCCTGCGCTTCGCCCAGGAACCTACGAGCTTCGCTTCCGCTATGCCGATCGCTACAGCGAGGTGCGGGTGTCAAGGTTGACGGTTTAGGGTGTATAGGGCTAAGGGTCTTTTGGCCTTAGGTGCTATAGGGCCTGTAGGATCCATGTTGTCTATGGGGCTTAAGACGATGGTCTACAGGGCTTAGGGTTCAGGTCTCTTGGGTGAGAGTGTGGACTTGTTCAAATCATCGGTAGCAGTGCCTACATTCCATACCCATGCTCGCCCAGGTAGGTCCTATTTTTAATATTGACTACAAGGAGTTTGTAGCAGAAAGCAAGGTGACTACAAGTATACAAATTTCGGACCTCGACAAGAGTGAGAAGCAGCTTGGATCCTTGCAAGTGCCTAGTTCCCAGTATCACGGAAGATGACTGGATCACTCAACTATTCTGATTGCATCTTCAGTCATAATGACCTTGCTGGTCGTCGTCTGGATAAGCTCGAGGTTCTTAGTTTAGGGTTCGGGATCGAGGACTCCACGACAGTGGCGTGCTTGCACAGTTCTGTGCAGCACATGCTGTACGATTTACCCATGCCCCGATGGAGACTCCCGCAGCGATCGGTCGAGTCGAGCGACACGGTGGTGCGCTCAAGGCAACCCCTAAATTGTAAATCCAACCGCCATGACGAAGCGCTTGGACAGAAGCAGGTCGAGGCACGGCAAGGCAACTATGCGCAAGGTCGTCGCCCAAACAAAGGCGGTTACAATTGAGGGGCGGCCCATTGGCAAGCCCCGGCTCGGTTTCGTGCTGTATATGGTCCGCCCCCTGCTCAGATTGAGCCAGCGAGGGTGGCTGCACCGCCTTGGTCTTTTACTCGATACTACAACGGCATTTACCAGTCTTCAGCATGGGAGAGCAGCACAGAGGGCTGTGTAGGTAGGGCTATTTGTAGCCTAGTCGTGCTATAAGTAGATGTATGTGACTATAGCTTTCCCCTGGTGACCATGTCCTCGGAAAAACTGTGTGTGTGTGTGGCTTCTATACACTATACTGAACTTCATGACACTACTACTAGACTCTTCTGTACCATGCTGCACTATAGTATATTATGCCCCAATAAATAGACTACACGGTCGTATGCCACAATACACCCAGATAATACTGCAATAGCATAATTTATCAGGGCATGCTCAACTCTGAGCCTGCATCAAAGCAGGTCCGCTCCCCGACGCAGCGTCGCCTGCGGCTGCGAGTGAACGGCGCGGCTTGGGCAGATTACTTGGAGGGTCGGGGGACTTAGTAAGTAGGTAGTAAGTAGGAAGTATGTGTGCCTCAGGGTCCATGTGCTCATAGAGTATATCAGTATATGGGTACTTCTCTGAAGTAGGGTTCTGCTTATAGGGGTGCCGTACTGTTTTGTGACCTAAAAGGCATTCTAATCTAGAGAACTACTTATATAGTACATACGTTGTCCTTGATGTAATCCTTTGTGGGGTACTCTTGGACCCAAGCATATACTAATATAGGAGCCTCAATAATTCACAACATTATTTTGGGGGGTTCCTTCTTCTATTTATAGTGTAGTGAGGCCCAAAACCCTAGTCTAATTATTAAGGCCCCTATACTATATGGATGCCTGCACCCTTGGGGTTTGGTAGGCGACAACCCTTGGGGTGCACTGGCTTGTAAAGTCCGTGTCCTCGAACTCAGGTTTGCTCGCGGCAAACCGAATCCCCCGGCCTAGAACGATAAGAGTTTAGGGTTCAGAGTTTAGGTGGAGTAGCTGTCCATGTTGTCGAAGGCTGTGACGCATGAGCCTTGATTTCGTAGCTGTGCGTTCCTTGAAGCCGCTGCTTGGACCCTCTACGCCCTACACTCTTAGGCCCGAAGCTGGACCTAAACGCCGGATATCGCAAGCAGAATATTCAGTACCTCGATTGGGGTTGCATGTACTATGGGTGAGTCGCGGCTCCATTTCCCAGTTCCCTACTTAAAGGATCATGGGACTTAGTAACTAGGGTTATAGCTCGGGTAACTATACTTATAACCCCAATTAGGGTACTTATAACATGACTTACTAAGTCCCATGATCTTCCAAGCACTCTAGGGTGTAGGCCCAGTTATACGACCCTAAATAGTAGGATCCCTATTATAAGGACCCCAAAATAAGGTAGCCCCATTTTTGGAAACTCCCATAAAAGCCTTGCCTAGTCCACCGGCTCTCAGCTTCCTCAAGCAAGGCCTCGGACCGGAAGTCCCATCAGAGACACCCCCGAAGTAAGAGAAGAGGCAGATCGGCACAAGTATCTTCAGACCCTAAACCCTAAACCCTAAACCGTTTCCTGTTAAAGGACTAGGTTCCTGGCTCCATTATGCCACCAGAGCTGCAGCCCTCGAATCCCTACCCTGAACCGTACAGACAAACCCCAAGCCACAAAAACAAAAGCAAAGCTTGAAACCATGAACCCTAAACGGTGAAGCCTAAACCGAACCCCCAGGACCTGACACATTTCAGATACATTTAGCTCCCGTATCTGCCTTCACTTCATAGTTTCATCAAGATGTCAGAGCCATTTTGCCCGGGTTCTAGATCGTTAGTATTGGGCTCGGAAGAATGGCTAGTAATATCACAGAAAAGTCCGCCTTTATTATTTTTTACATATATATATATATACGGTCTACTATACCCCGAAGCCCTTCTAGGAGGACTTCGGTGTTATTTAGAGAGTCGGGCTTGGGGTTTGGGATTGAAGTTCAAGACTGTGGTCGAGTTACTTTTCGAAGTGCACTGTTCGATCCCTATAGAGGTTTCGGCTTTAGGGTTTAGGGTTTAGGCCTGTAGTCAGGGTTTAGGGTTTACCGGACTTAGTAACTAGGGTTATATAATTAGGGTAACTATACTTATAACCCCAATTAGGGTACTTATAACCTGACTTACTAAGTCCCATGATCCTCCAAGTAGGGCCCAACGCTTGAAACAGACATCTGAGCCCTCAAGCATCTCTTATGTCTTGAAACCTTTTGCCACGCTCCCTGGTTCCGAAGCCCTTTGCCGAAGAATCATATCAGCCCTGAATCGCAAGAAGGCCTTACTCTTAGGCCCGAAACTCTTGAGCACAAGCCCTATAACCCCAAAACCCTGAACTCCTCAAACAAAGATGAACCATAACCCTGTCCCTCCAAGGACCTCATAGTTAGGGCCCTAGACCCCTTAAGGACCCCATTATAAGGTCCCTGGAGGCATAGGGATAAGCCCTGAAAGCCCTAAACCACAGCCCAGGTGGTCGTGACGCACCACCTTGACTTCCGGCCCTCTTCCCGTGGGGCGGGAAGCCCTGCCCTCAGCGCAAGGTAGAGACAGAGAATCAGAGAGAAACAGAGAGAGAGAGAGCGAGAGAGACAGAAAGAAAGAAAGAACCCTGAACCCTGAATTTGAGCCGCTACAGCCCCAAACCCCGAAACCCTACCTGGTCCCCAAAACCCCAAACCTTAAGGAACCCTAAACCCTAAACCCCTAAACCTTAAGCCAGCCACCCAAAAGTAGGCCTTTTGACCCCAGAGGCCGGAGTCGTTACGCCTGGCGGAGCATTTCCACAGCTCTTTCTGCCGGCACAAACCTGGTGCAACTCCAGGTGGGGCTTAAGGGTATGGGGCTTTAGGGTTTTAGAGTGTAGGTGCAACTCCAGGTGATGTTTGTTGTCAGGAGTTTAGGACTTTGGGTTTTATGGTTTGGTGTTTTCCTTTTTTGGGGTTTATCGTTTGGGCTTGCGCTTCAGGGTACAGAGTTTAGAGTGCTCATGGATTTGTAGGTTTGTCGTAACGTTGCACAGATGCATTCGCATGGTTTTTATGTGGGGAGCTTTGGAGACTGTTCTTTGGGGGCCTTGTAGTTGGAGTACGGTTTGGAGGTATGTTCATAAGCTGTATCGGGGCATAAGACCATAGCGTTACCGCTTATCGGTTTAGCGTTGCTATTTTCATTTCCAACCTGGGGAATATATGGTTTGTTCAGGATTTTTGCGAAGCAAGCTGTACATGCGAGGATTTTTTGGAGAATATTCATGTAAGCCTAAGGGTACATGTGCCATGATTGCTCATACATTGGACTTCAAGTACCTATGGTAGAAATCCCCTTGAAAGGCCGACACATATGGTATATAGGCACATGGGTGGTTGTCAAAGTTATGGTTCCTTTTTGGCTCCTTAATATAATACGGCACCTAATATTTCGGGTACCCAAAACGGGACCAGAATTTTGACACCCACATGAACCCTCATGTGGTTGATGGCGAGTTTTGTCTGACTGATTGTGCATGAACCTGCAGCTACAGGATTCATAATTTCCTTAGGGGTACTTAGAAATAATTTTTACTTTTTGGTGATTATACTCCCTAAGAAAGAGCCAAATTTTGTAATTTTTGCTAGGGTTCTAAGTTCAGTATAGTTTCCAGGTTCTCGACTTAGGCTGACAGAGTTTCGTCTGCTGGGGGTTAGGGCCAACCCTAGTAGTACCCTCATGCAGTTTTGATTTGGGGGTCTCCTTGCTGCAAGTTCTGCCTTATTAAGGGGATGCTTACTATCCTTGTAGGCCTGTCGTAATTAATTTTCGTATATCCCAGCACCTTATTCTAACTATGACTGTGGCCCCGAAGCTGGGTAAACGCTTCTGCTGACCCAGACGTCTGCAGGTGACTGGCAATTGGGGTCCCAGGATTGACCTGCTGCCGGGAAACCCAGACTGTTCGATTACGGCTTGTAGGTCGCATAATGTAGGAACCTGGTTAAGAAACCCTGGCCCTATAACCCCAAAATAGTCGGGTTCATATGAAGAGCCCGAATAAAGGCCCAAGGTTTCTTAATCAGGTTCCTACATTAGGGTTTTATGGGGTTTGTGGCTCAGGGTTTAATCCTAAGGCTGTTGAAGGGCCCATGGGCCCTTGTACCCTGAGCCCTAAACCCCATGTCAATGCTTTGGCCTTGAAGGTACTCTGTAGGCCCTTAAGAGCCAAGGCATATGCTGTGTGGGTAGACCGACCCTTTGGGACGGGCTTTTGGGGAATTGGTACTGGAAGGGTTTAAGGTATATGGTTTAGGGCTTAAGGTGCTAGAAGGTGCAGGTGTGAAGGTTTAGGATGTAGATCAATTGCAGAATCAAGCGGGTCCAGTGAATAGGTGCATGGTCGCCTTGTTTTCGGAGCAGAGCGGCGAAAAAGAAGAACGTCAATGAGGAGTTGTCGGGTTTAGACACCGCTTTTGGAACTAAGCCCTGGAACTAAGCCCTGTAGTAATCCAACCAAGCTGTTCCATCCGTCTAGCCGGTGCCTGAAGCGCGCAGCCCAAACAAACACCTCATCACCGTCCAGCTAAGAAAAAAGCGAACCACGAACCCACAGATGATGACACACCCTTTGGCCAAGAAAAATGAGCCACGAAGCCGTACATACTGAATCCCCACAGCCCTAGAACCAGAGCCCTGGAATCTACTACAGCCCTATAGTCCCAAACCTCCAAGCTCCGGAACTCGAAAGCCCCCAACCCCTCCGCGAAAATTGGGACCCTAGTATAGTACCCTAAATAGTAGGATCCTTGTTATAAGGACTACGGTACCCCTAATCTTCGAGAAACAGAGCCCTGCAGACAGGTGCAGACATGTAGAGACAGCCCTTTTACCCCGAAGGTCCGACAGACCCTAAACGCTGATTACAAGCTTTAACCCTACCTTAACCCTGAATAACCTACCTTTCTAAGGTTCCTTATTATGATTTCCTTATATAAGGTCCTTAAAAAGGTAGGATATTCTGGGTTAAGGTAGACCCTAAGCCCTAAACCCCAGAGGCTTAAACCCCAAACTAAACCCTAAGCCATGATAGTCTCGAAGTCGAAGGTATGTCCTGCCTCCGGTCCCGTCGGTCGTGACTGTGGCGGGCAGTGGGGCATTCGGGTTGCCGCAACACGGCTGCAACCGTTTGAGGTTTTTTGTGTTTTCCCAAATGCCTCCAGGGACCTTATTATGGGGTCCTTAAGGGGTCTAGGACCCTAACTATGAGGTCCTTGGAGGGATAGGGTGTCGGGCTTACGATTGCGGTTTAGCATTGGTGATTTGGTGTTTTTCGGTTTCTCACGTTAGGGCTTCGTGTTGCAGGTTCGGCGACCCTATACACCACCACACCCTAACCCTAAACCCTAAACCGTAGGTGCAGTAGACGTCTGCGTATTTCCTATTAATGGCTTCATACATAGGCTCTCCAGAATTATTCCCAACATTATTCCTCAGAGTCCTCGAGCCCCCATACTTGAAGGGTTTGGGGGGACTTAGTAACTGGTTATTTTAGGGACTTATAAGTACCATAACCCCAATTAGGGTCCCTTTTGGGGTACTTAGAAGCTTACTTACTACCTTCTTACTAAGTCCCCCGACCCTCCAAGTACTCCGCTGCAGGGACGTGGTGGTGGTCTTAGGCTCCCAAAGGGTCTCGTCCAAACAATCTACAATACCAGATAAATAGGTACCTGGCAGTGAATGTACGTTAGTAGGTTGGGCCATGAAACCCACAAAGCCAAGGGGTTTTGGCCCCTAAACCCTCAAAAAAAGCAAACCGAAAGCAGCAGGGGATCCGTCCACTCCCGTCTCAGGAGCCCTGATGACTTGGTTGTGCCGCAGACTGCTTCCAGCACGTCTTTCGCGGCCCCACAAGGCAGATAATTGGCTAAACGATAACGGTTTAGGGTTTAGGGTTTGGGGTTTAGGGGTTTAGGGTTTAGGGTTTAAGGTTTAGGGGTTTAGGGTTTAGGGTTTAGGGAGCCCTATCCCTCCAAGGACCTCATAGTTACGGCCCTAGACCCGTTAAGGGCCCCATAATAAGGTCCCTGGAGGCGTAGGCTAAGCCCTTGAGTTGTTTTGTTCGAGGGGGGGTTGGCTTGGGGTTGCAGGGTTTTGTGGGTTTACTGGGCTTTGGTCTCCAAAGTCTCATGAACTTGTTTTGTACTACAGCTGCCTGCTAGGAGCCCTTTGTTGATATAAGCGTTGCGTGAGTTCGAGCTTCTTGTTCAGGAAATGCTGCACCAACGCTAGAAGGATAGAAGAAGTTTCAAGCTTCAAGTTTCCTTTAGGTGATCTGCGTGCGAGGGCTTGTTGTTGGCTCATCACGTAAGGGCTTGTCTAAAGTATCGTCCCTTGTCTGCATCTTTGACCCCACAGGGATTAAAACCCGAAGCGCTAAACCCTTGTAGGCTCAGAGACTAGGAATTTAAGTTCAGGTTAGGTACGGCCCCCACTCAGTAATAGTTGTAATATTCACAATATAGATATAGTTGGACCTTCATAGTAGCCCTGTTATAGACTCTTACTGTATTTTTGGCCGTACCTAAAGTTTAGAGTTCAGCCCCAAGTCCAAGCCCATTAGGTGTCGAGTTTACGGAATAAATCACCGGCGTGCGCACACCTGTGTGGGTAGCTGTCAAAGTTAGGGTCCCTTTTTGGGTTCCCCAAATATTAGGTGCCGTATCATAATAGGGACCCAGAAAGGGACCATAATTTTGACAACCACCCATGCATGGCCAGAGCACTATTTGGCCGTAATCCGGTTTCCAACTCTATGGGGTTTACTGTAGAGATTCTGTCAGTGTTTTGAGAGTTTCGTTGCTTGTTGATTCACGTGAGGAGGTTCGCAGAAGATCTAGGAAACCCTACAACCTATCTGTATCTTCACAACTGAATCGTGATCCTGAACCCTAAACCCCATGTGGAAAGACAGGAAAATTTGTCATTTAGGGTTTGGGGACTGGGGGGATAGAGGTACTTCATTTGAAGTCTGTCAAACCCGCAACAAAGCTGGTACTTTTTGAACGTCGCAGCAATCGCGTATGATTTCAATTCTTCCTGCTTATGACCACCCACCAGTCTCCCAAAATCCCATGTTCTAAGCCCGAATTAGGCCCTTGCATTTGGCCTAAGCCCGAAGCCTCGGGCCCGCCATAGCAAGTAAACACTAAGTAAACCCTGAATCCTTGCTTTAAACCCGAACCCTTGCACAAAATGAGCCCAAGCACCTGTTGTAAAACTTTTTTTGTGATCAACTCTACACCACCCTTTTCAATATGATCCTTATTAACACAGAAACCTGCAAGAACCCTAAACCTAGACAGCCCTTACAGCCATGAAATCCCCGTTTAATATGAAGCATGTGGCCTTAAGCCCGCCTAAATTGGCCTTCAAAGAGCTAGCTCCTCGGGGACAGGCCTGGCATTGGATCAAACCTCGCAGCTGCTTTACATCGCCGATACATGGCCAAGGTTTAGGTATTTTGGTGTTTGGCTAATGGTCTCAGGGTTCTGGCATTTAGGGTTTAGTATTTTGGGCCTGCTGCGTCGGTAGTGAGGATCTCCCGCTGATTCTGGTTTGAGCTGTTCCTAGCATCGAGTTGATCGCCGAGACGTGTAATTATAAAACTACAAACCTCTTAACAAGTTTAGCGTTTAAGATTTCCGAAATATAGATCTGTAAGGGTCCATGTAGTCGCGAAGTATACACATAGGCTATGCAGCGCAGGCAGTTTCATGAACCAAGTGTACACGTGGTGAATCAAGTTTTGAGATTTCATTTTGGTGATGTATGTTGTGTCTGTCTTGAAGCCCTAAACCCTATATAACCCTAAGTCCTATAAATTTCCTAAGCCCAAAATCCCTAGCCTTAAACCCAACACCCGAAAACTGTTCGTGGAAGGGGGTGACAGAATCAGGGCACAGGTTTGTATCCGGGCTGCCGTCAGGAAACAGCTGCAGGTACGGAGCACTTGAATTCCTTGTTCTAGGTTGACTGAACGAAGCCAATGCCAGTTTTTAGAGGCCTTAAATGATTACTTACGCTATTCTTTTTTCGTGGGGGCGGAGGGTCCTTATTATAATTGCAGTAGAATGGGCCCCAAAACCATATTCTAAGTGTGCAGGCCCCTGCACTATATGGTCCCTATCGGCAGATGCCAGACATGCCTGTGTGGCAAGTGCCTTTTGGCAAAGGGGTGAAAATACCGTTTTTCAAAATAAATAGGGCAGTCAAAGGGTAGAGCTATGACGACCGTCTAAATGGCAACCCTGATTTTGTTTGAGAGAGTTTGGAATGCATTTCAGGGGTGGAGGCTTCTGCAGGGAGTATAGCTTGTGCTTGCAAGTAGGGAATTTGGGGCACTACGCAGAATTGACGACCCGGAGAGCTGAAGCATGTTCAGATGCTCAGCCCACAGCTCTCATGTGCATATTCAAGCTGCAAAACTTGCCAGGCGGAGGTTCAACCATTTGTAGTGGGGGGGACGCGCGTGAAAGTGCACACTTGGAAGTAGAGGTCCCGCAGAATGCAAACGGCCGGTTGAGATTGCGACTGCGCCGTACCGCAACGTTCCGCCGGACACCCCTGGAGTGTACCGCCCAATGTTTCCCGCTTGACGGACTACTACAGCCAAACACCGCCAAACACCGCCATCCACCGCCAAACACCGCCAGGCGTACCGCCAACTACCGCCAAACACCACCAAGCACCGCCAAAATCACAGAAGCCAGTTGGAGTGTTTCGGTGTGTGCAGTTGCCGCCAAATTAAAATATGCAGTCTCGGATCTTCATGAAAGTGGAGACTGGCCTGAGAAAAGAGACCAGTGTTCAAGGACGGAAGTTTGGACAATATGTAGCCTTCATGCTGCACGCTATTGCCGCATCGCGTGCCCTGTAACTCGAAAGCCGACCAACAAAAGCGACGCATCCCCTTCACAAGTGCAGTGCTGATTTTGACATAGACTACCTTGGATTGTTTGTGATGGATGTGACGAAGTACAAATTGGTATTTTGAACTGCGTACCTCGTTCCTTTTTCCAGGGGGCACTTTTGTATCGGGCATGTTTGAATACTGCCGACCCTAAGCTGTCGTTTGTTTAGAGGTGCCATGTTTGATTGTTGCACTACGTCTGCGGGAATCGGGTATGTACATGGAGGGTGTAAACCCTACACCCTAAACTCCTGAGCCCCTGAACCCTAAACCCTTAAACCCTGAAACCCTTAAACCCTAAGCCAAAATTCCAACACCCTTAAACCCCTAAACCCCAAACCTCAGGCCCTAAACCCTAAACCCTGAACCTACGAACCCTAGACCCATGAAGTTTAAATCCCTGAACAAGAAACAGTTTCAGTTCGGACCAGAAGTTGGCATCCAGTAGCCAAACCGCAACCCCGAAAACAAACTTCCTAGCTTAGGTTCTCTTCGTTTGGATTTTAGGCCTTGGGGTTTCTGCTTCGGGTTGGGGGTTTCCCAAAGCCTACAAAATAGTAGGTTATATGTAGTATGACCCTTGAATTTGAAGGTCGATCCCTTAAATAATTAGGTTTTTGAATCCCCAGGATCCAAAGGTCATAGGGCTTCTGAAACAAGCGAAAGAACGCATCAAAGGCGCTGCTCTGCCATTGTTTATGGGTTTCTGCAGGGACCGCCTATAGCTGAGCAGTCCGTGGATGCATCGTCATGTCGTTGTGTCTGAAGGTTTCAGGGACAGACATAGCAGAGGCCTATATAGCTCCTTTATATAGCTCCTTCTGCTGCTGAGCTTCGCCAGGAATCAACCGAACCCGTAGACTCCTAACTCGAGTCAGCCCCCGAAATCCCGGACTCTCGCGTGCTGCACCAGAAGCCTTCGACTCCAGGCTGATAAAATCCCAAACACAAAACCCTAATATAGGGGCCTTAATAATTACCTATACTATTTAGAGGGTTCCTTATTATGATTATAGTATAAGGGGCCCCAAAACCCTATTCTATGATTAAGGCCCCTATATTACCTCGACGAATCGACGAAGGACAGCGAGAACGGCCGCGTCCGTCGGCTGGATCTCGGCGCAGGGACGATCAGGATGCTGACACCGGGTTCCGTTAAAGAGTTCCGATTGAAATGCTCTATCAGGGTTGCGATAAGCCTTCGACTTGTAAAATGCTTGGTGCGCAGGACCATTGCCGGGGGAGCCATCAACGACGAGGCCTGACTACAGTTTGTTGCGGAGTGCCTCTGCGTAATCGAGGCAGTCAGGAACGTCCTGTACAAACCCTTGACTGGAAGCCCCATATCCACATGGGTAGTTGTCAAAATTAGGGTCCCTTTTCGGGTAATTACCCTAAGTAATAGGTGCCGTATTATAATGGGGACCCAATAGGGACTATAATTCTGACAACCAGCCATATCCACATCATCTCTAGACCGTGTAACTCTCAGGCCCTGACACCCTGATCCCCCTAACAATCTCCTGCACCTCACTTGGAGGGTCGGGGGACTTAGCAAGTAGGTAGTAAGTAGACTTATAAGTACCCTAAAAGGGACCCTAATTGGGATTATGGTACTTATAAGTCCCCAAAATAACCAGTTACTAAGTCCCCCGACCCTCCAAGCAAGAGCCTTCATACGCGGATCCATATTCTGCAGCAAGTTGATTTGCTACTCTGACTCTTACACCTGCACCCTAAACCAAGAAGCCCTAAACTCTGAATACAGCTTGTACATATAAGTCTATAAATCCGAAACACCCCTAAACCCTAAAACCGAAAGCCTACAGAAGCCGTTGCCGTTGCAGTTTTACAGTTTTAAGCCCTGGGAACAAAGCCTGCTACACTCCAGGGCCCATTGCCTTCTAGTCGCACATGTGGCTCCCCCTGCTTGCGTAGTACTTTGAGGGCTAAGCCGAGGTGTTTTTAGGGTGTAAGGTTTCGGGGTGTGCTTTTTCTGGCCCACAAATCCTAAAATCTAAGGCTAGGACCCTGAACCCGAAACCATAAGACCGCCCTGTGACCTAAACCCTGAACCCTATCTGCAGACACGAAAAGGGGCCCTTGAAAAAAACCCAAAACTAGGATGCCCAGTAGTACCCTTATTCCCTTTTCGTAGTCCTAGGTTCCTTATAAAGGTATCCAATACCAAAAAGAGGAGCACTTTTAATTCCTAGGTTACTGGGCATCCTAGAAAACGATTTTGGGAATTCCCTTTTATACTATAGTATCATGGGCCCCAAAACCCTATGCTAACCCTATGCCTCCAGGGACCTTAGTCTGGGGTCCTTACGGGGTCTAGGACCCTAACTATGGGTCCTTGGAGGGATATGGTAATTCTGAAGGCCCTAGAAAACTGAAAGAATCTTTAGGGATTCCTTTTTATAGTATAGTGTAACGGGCCCCAAAATCCAATTCTAATTATCAAGGCCGTATAATGGGCCCCAAAACCCTCTTCTAACTATTAAGGCCCTAGAAAACTGAAGCCTCCGGACTCCCTTTTATACTATAGTATAATGGGCCCCAAAACCCTCTTCTAACTATAAAGGCCCTAGAAAACTGAAGCCTCCGGACTCCCTTTTATACTATAGTATAATGGGCCCCAAAACCCTCTTCTAACTATAAAGGCCCTAGAAAACTGAAGCCTCCGCAGCTCACGGACGGCGTGGCCGCGGACTCGGGGAAACTCTTCCGCCCCAGGGGCCTGGCGCTGGACACCTCGAGGCCAATGGAGGATCATGGGACTTAGTCACTTACAAGGGCTCCTTAAGGGGTTCCTTAACAAGGGATCTATAAGGGATACTATAAGGATTGAGGGTTTAGGGTCTGCTTGGAGGATCATGGGACTTAGTAAGAGGCCAAGGGGATTGTAAAGCGTCCTTTAAGGGGTTCCTTAAAGGGATCTATAAGGGATGTATAGGGGTTTAGGGAGTACTTGGAGGATCACGGGACTTAGTAAGTCAGGTTATAAGTACCCTAATTGGGGTTATAAGTATAGCTACCCCAATTATATCCCTAGTTACCAAGCCCCATGATCCTTTAAGTGGAGGGCTTCAAAGAACCCGAAGGGTCCTATGTACCGATATAGTAGAATGTAGAGTTTCCATATTAGGCATTACTATTATGACTTAGGGAAGTTTTTCCCCATAACATTACATAGGACCCTTTGGGGAACTGACTCTCTGTTGTGTTCGCTCTGTCTATATACGTGTATATGTACATGGGTATGTACACACATGCATATATCCGTGTTTGTGCCTTAGCCCGTGGCGGTTTATGTGTATGTTTATTTGCACGTGTCTATGTACATGTATATGTGTTTGTGTTGTCTATGTATGTTTGTATCCATGCATGTATGAATGTACGTATGCATGCAGGCATCATGCATGATTATGTGTATAAGTTGGTTATGCATGTAGGTTATGTATGTATGTATGTATGTATGTATGTATGTCTGTATGTATGTATGTATGTATGTATGTATTTATGTATGCAAGTATGTATGTATGTATCTGCATGTATATGTATTGGATATACTGCAGCGCTTTTGCAGGGATCATGGGTGCGGGGCCGTGTGGTTAATCTAGTCGTTCTTCTTCTAACGGTTCTTCTTCAACTTGACCCCTATTCCAAAAGTTATGCTGCAGATTCCAGCTAGATCTGCAGATCCCTACAATCGAGGCACTGCAAACCTCACCACTACCAGGGACCCTATTATGGGGTCCTTAAGGGGTCTAGGGCCCTAACTATGAGGTCCTTGGAGGGATAGGGCTACTGTTTGGGGTTTAGGTTTCAACGGATAAAGCTTCTTGAAAAGCTAAAATCACGGGCCCAGACCACTGGGACGTCTGTTCGTCACATAAGCCATCGGCACCCTCAACGGGCTCTTCTACCTGTAGGCGCAACACCTGTGCTTCTAGGATTATGATTTTCTTACATGAAACCTCGTTTCGCGGTTTCAGGTAAGCCCCAAAAACTGGATTTTTCTGCCCCGGAGTCGCGCGAAAGCCCTCCAGGGGCTTTCTTTACGTCAGCGACAGCCACCACCGCAAAGTTCGTCGCATTGATCTGGGCTCCGCGCCGCTGTCCGGAGGCTCTGATACAGTCGAGTCAAGGGATCGTTCTGCAGTCTTTGCAAGGATTTCTAGGGTTCTTATCCTCTCTAGGAGCGGCTTCAAAGCAACATTGTCGACCCGTCACCCAGCAAATGCCAGAGCGAGCGTAACCCCGTTGAGTCATGCTGATCCCTCAACCTTAAATCCTTTGGGATGCATGGGCTCGAAACACCCCTTGTTCAGCATCTCCGCTTTTCGGCCACTGATTCGGGCGGCGAGTGTGCCTCTGTAACTACCTGCCGCACCTTTTCTGCGTGTGCAAATTATCGTGGTTCTCTTGTCAGCGTCACGTTTCGTTGTCGTAGTTATTACTAATGATCCCGCCAGTGCACTTCCTATTCTCCAAGCTTCTAGCTGCTAGAATTGTATCACCAGGAAGACGATTCACAAACTTGAGCGGCGTTGTGCTTCTTCTGCGTTCCGGCATAGACCCATGGCCCCTGAAACCGCAAACCGCGGTCACCCTAAACACCACCCCCAAAGCCCAAACATCCCCAAACCCTAAACCCCTAGAATCCGAGACCCCTAACCCAAATTATCGACCGTCAGGGACCATCAGTGTCAAGGCTGTATCACGCTCATGCAACATGCTCCCTAAAAGGCCGGCATCCAATTTCCTAAACTCCTAAACTCGGAAAGATGGCTTACCACGGCCAACAGAAACGAAGCTTTCCTGTACAGTAAACCCCATAAAGTTGGGAGCCGGATTAAGGCCAAACAGTGCTGGGATTCCCTATACGTTGCTCTTAAGGATTGAGGCTATTAGGTTTCCAACTTTTTGGCTTCTACTGTAGACCCTGCTCAATGAACCCCCTTTACTCCCGGCTTCCCGAGAAGGGAAGGGAGCTCATGCCCGAAGGGTCTGCATTAACCTTCAACTCCAAGCCTGAACCCACTCCTACTCCTAAGCCTCCACACCCGCACTGGCACTGGAAAAATCAAACCCTTATGACCCTATGAAGCACAATCCCACAACAACCCTGTAAATCCCTGATGAAGGCCTTTAAAGTCCGAAGTGAAGATAAATGGAAGTTCAGACATATTTACGAATGTCCCTGGAAGGCACGATCACCACACTGTCTGGTTCTGGATTCGACGTGGCCGACTTTGAACAGTGGCCTGATCTGCAACATGTTGTGTTAATGTCAGGTGGGAATTCCGAAAATCCGTGTTTTAGGGTTTATGTGGGTGGTTGTCAAAATTAGGGTCCCTTTATGAGTCCCTATTATAATACGGCACCTATTATGTAGGGTACCCAAAAGGGACTATAATTTTGACAACCACCCATGTGGTTGGTAGTTCGAGGGCTTCTGCGCAGCAACCCTAGTCATTTTTCGCAGTGCTGAACATTGTTGAACCATCTTGGTCTGACATTTCTTATTATATGTACTGCTAAGGTACAACATGATAAGACCCTCATGGATTTTTCTTCGGCCTTCATGAGCTGTCTCTTCTTCCCGCCCGAGAAAGAAAGGCTTGAACACGTTGCATTTAGGCCAGCGCTGAATGTATTTGTGTCCACTATCCGGCTCATTCGGGCTCTGTGGTGGGCTTGCAGTTTTTTGGCTGTCTTCTTAGAAACTTCTGCAGAGGTTTGCATGGGCTTCTCTCAAACTTGCAAGGCTTGAGACGGCTTAGAAACAACCATAAACCCTGAACCGCAAATCCTAAGCCCTCCAGCCCCTGGAGGACCGAAAAGCCAAACCCCACATCCCTCCCGAACCCCTACATCTTCAGCGCCCCTCAATATTATGAAACCTCTACAGATACTCCAAACCCTGAACCTTGGACCATACAACCCTAAACCCCAAACCTAAATCTATCACTCCAAACCCCAAGCCCCGCATCCTATCCCCAAACCCTTGCCGGACCCTGAACCCCTAGATACTCCTTTATGCAAATAGTGTTTGGGTCGCAGGTAAGCCTTGGAATGCCGACGATTGGGTCAAGGCTTAAAGAGTTTAAGGCTTAAGTGCTTTAGGGTTCAGGGTTTATTACGATCTGAAGGCTTTAGAACCCCAAACCCTGAAGCCTGTAAAGGCGTTAAGGGTCTTTGAGTTTGGGCCGAGGGTCTATCAGGGTCTACGTTGAAAAGGATATTGGGATGGTCTTGGAGGTTACTTGGAGGGTCGGGGGACTAAGTAACTGGTTATTCTAGGGACTTATAAGTACCATAACCCCAATTAGGGTCCTTTTTGGGGTACTTATAAGCCTACTTACTACCTATCCCTTACTAAGTCCCTAGTTTAATACTGCACCTAATATTTAGGGTACCTTAAAATGGACCTTAATTTTGACAACTACCCTCCTAGAGGTTGGGGTCCGGTCGAGTCTGTTTTGCCCAGCCGAGGCGCCTCCTCGACCCCGCGGGGGTGCTCTTGGATACCACAGCGCCTTTGGCTTCAAGGGTGAGTCTGTGTTATCTTAGTAGCTGAGTTTATGAACTTTAAACTTGTTGGGATAATGAAACCCTCTTAAAATTGAAAGTTTAAACTTTTTTGGGCTTATGAACTCGCAACTAAGGTGTTAGAGAACATGCCATAAATACATATACAGATCTCACACAAGCGCATACTAAGTGCTATTTCGCAGATTCTAGATTCTGCATTTCCTTCATATACACCTTGAGTTTTTCCAAGCGACATACAACTAATTATGAGGGCTTTCTTTAAGCTTGGGTTGAGGGTTTGATCCCGGGTTTGCGTTTTGGGCTTTGTGTTGACGGTTTATTCGCAGTTTATGGCTCAACTAAGATTCAGGGTTTGGTTCTGGTGCCTGAGTTATCACGTTCCAACTACCTAATCAGTAATCAGGTATTTAGGCTAGCAGCTATTGCAGGTTAGGTCGACCCTTTGGGTTCTGCGAGCTCTCCTGGCTTTGGCAAGTATTGAGCTTTGGGGCTTTGTGCTTTGTTTGTTGAGGGCTTGAGGGAGCTTTCGAGTTTTCAATTGCATAGACGGCGGTACTATCAATCTTTGGAAAATGTTGGGGCTCCAGGGTATTTACGGAGCTTTCAAGGAAAAGTCTTTTGGCGTGATGGAGCTGGTATGTTCAGTGCTTAAGGCTTTCGGCATCTTTGGGCTTAAGGTTGCAGCTTTCCTCAATGTGCGCGTGTTGTAAAACAGGCCAGCTTCAGTATGTCCTTCCTGGACCCTAGCCGTGGTTTAGGGTTTGTGTGTAGGGGTTGTTTGAGGTTACGGTACCATTTGCTGATTTCTTCACTCCCTCCCAACTTTTGCTTGGCCAGAACCTATGAACTTTGTACGATGCTCACAGGATTTCGAAAATGACGAACGGCTTCACACAACACAGAACGCGGCTCGTGAGTATTGATTCGCTTTGACTGCTTCCTTCTTTGGGTTCTGTCAGTCCTCAAGCCTAAACCTAGGTAGCATTATTTGAGAGAGCCCTTAAAAGGTACCCCTTCTGAACCCTACTTCTGGCTCTCTTAAAAGGGACCTTATTGAGAGGGTTTTTATCCCCAAGGGTCCCCTTAATCCTACCTCCCAAAACCGAAAGCCAAAATCAACAGCTTCAAGTCTCTGAAGTTAAACTTATATGTGATAGGTTGAACCGCAACACAGTAATGTTCTGTGGTCCTTAGTCCTTATGCTTTCTGTTTTTGAGCCACAGGCAAAAGTGTGTCCTGGCGAGGAAGGTAAGGGTTTGCAGGGTTTAGAGAGAGATCGCGAGAGAGAGAGAGAGAGAGAGAGAGAGCACCAATGGATACCACCAGACGCCTGAGCCAAGCACTCCTCCTGGGCTCAACAAGTTTAGTGGAAGCCTGAGTGCGGCTCATGTTGCAAGTGATGCACAGTCATGGCTATCTGAGAACAGTCTGTCTCTGCCGCTGCAACAGCCCGTGGTGTTACAGAAATTCCTTCGCTGGATGAGCCCGAGACCTCTGCCGAGATGTTGACCACCGTCTGCACCGAGGAAGAGCTCCAGAAGGATGTCGAAAGCATCCTCGAAGGGTTCATGGGAAAAAGCGGATGGGCTCTGTATATATTTTTTTACCTGGACCTACCTTCAAGGCAGTTTCGCGAAGAAACCTGAGCGTGAACTCCTATCACCCTAAACCCTCAACACCGCTAGCCGCAAAATTATAGGTTCTGGTACTTTGAGGTAGGAAGTCCATGTGAAAGGTCATACCCTACGTACCTTCTTGTCCACGGCATGCTGTGTTATCTTTAGGATCTGTCATATAGGAAAGTAGTACCCTAAGAAAGGGGCATTGTATGAATGACCCTTTTGGCAAAGCCGCCTCAATGTCCTAAACCATATAGGCCCTGCCTAAACCCCCCAACTATCCTCCAGTAGACCCTACGCCCTTTCTACCTACCATTCAGTACCATAAGGGCTCCATTACAGGGCGCTTGGGGGCCCGGGTAATCCCTAAACCCTATAATCCCTAATCCCTAAACCCAAAAAAACCCCAATCCCTAAACTCTAATCGACCCTACAACCTAAACCCTATAAGCCTAAACCCTGAAACCCTATACCTTAAACTCAATAACCTAAACCCTATAATCCCGAAACCCTATAATCCCTAAACCCTGAACCCTATAATTAATCACTAAGCCTTATACCCTAACCCCTATAAACCCTAGAACCCCTAAAACCTTGAAGCCTGCCTCGAAGGCGAACTTTCTCTACGTAGCGGACACCGGCCACGGACGGCTGCGCTTCGTGAACGCAGATCCGAATCTGGCCTGTCCCAGCGAGGCGGCACGAGGGCTTAAGGGTAGGGTTTAGGGGGTTTAGGGCTTAAAGGGTTTAGGGATTAAGAGTTTGGGGTTTAGGGCTTCAAGGGTTTAGGGCTTCAAGGGTTTAGGGCTGATATTAGGGACCTACAAAGCACATAAGCAAAAGCATTTTATAGGGATATCCCTACCTTATTAGTCTTCATTAAAAGGGGGTTTATCTGGGATATCCCTATCCTTATTTTTGCTTATTTGCTTTTTTGGGGATCTACTATAGGCCTTATAGGGCGTAAGAGCTTAGGCTTGAGGGTTTAGGGCTTGAGGGTTTAGGGTTTAGGGCTTAAGGGTTTTAGGGCTTAGGGCTTAAGGGTTATAGGAGTTTAGGGCTTAAGGGTTTTAGGGTTTTGCGCTTATAAGGGTTATAGGAGTTTAGGGCTTAAGGGTTTTATTGTTTAGGGCTTCAAGGGTTTGGGGTTTTGGATGCCTGTAGCCCCAAACCTCACAAAACAGTAGGTTATAACCCCTTCATTCTAATGTATAGCTCTTCAAACCGCGGATTTGTAAGGTGAAAGTACATGCTAATGCTGCTCAGCAGGGGCTTCAAGGCCCCCGAAGTACACACCCCCGAAAGCCTGGTCCGCTGCATCAGGTTGGTCCTCCCGCAACGCTGCAGTTCTGTGCCATGGCTAAGCCGTAGAATTTTTTAATTTGAAGGAACCCTTAAAGGATAGTGGAATCTTTTACCAGGAAGTCCGGATTGGCCAAGAAAGTTGGGACATGGATTAAAGATTGTTTTTGGCTTCTACTCCAGGAGTATGCGAGGTTTAAAGTTCAATTCGGATTCCACGCTTTTTGGCATTGATGTTCGGTTCGAGCACCCTACTTTTCTGAAGCGCCCCATTAGTCGCGGGCTGGGCTCTCAATTTCAAGGCTTCTTTCGATGATTCCTGCGAGGGGGCTGGTTACTACATCCCATTTCCTTGAGTCTCCAAGGGTCTGAATTTATGAATATCCAATGATCTCCATAAATGCTCAGGAACGTGAAAGCTGCCGGTATTCAAACTCCCTAAATACTTAGATAGCCAATGGGGGAACTTTAAACTTTTTAGCCTTATGCATTTGGTCTATCTTAGAAAGTTCAAACTTGTTTGGGCCGGTTATTCAAGGAGAGAGTAAAACCCCTAATTGCCCCCTGCTGCCCTCAAGCCCAAAGCCGCAGACCCTAAACCCAAGCCACCCGAATCCCACTGCCTAGACCCTAAACCCAAACTCTCAACCCGAAACCCAAGGCCTACCTTAACCCTGAATAACCTAGCTTTTTAAGGTTCCTTATTATGATTTCCTTATATAAGGTCCTAAAAAAGGTAGGTTATTCCGGGTTAAGGTAAACCCTAAACTCAACCCTAAATCCTTTCAAATTCATCTAATCTTTGGTATTGGAGGAGCTAAGGAGCCAGGGATGATGATCATCCCTATTGCTTAAGGAGCTAAAGAGTCAAGGGAACCCCAAAACCACTGGTTAGTCATGCGCTAAACCCATGGAATGCATTGACTTCACCTCCGAAGCTGCCAAGCTACGCTTACAAAGATGGACAGCCACAAAAAAAGCGTTAGGCTTTCAGCTTTCGGGTTCAGATCGTTCAGGGTCTAAGGTTTCGCCCCAAGCCCCAAGAATTCAGTAGAACATAGAAGCTGCCCCCACCCTGTAATCGTGACTATAAGGAGTATATTAGGGCCCTATTAGATACCTATTATACCACTATTACAGGGTGGGGGCAGCTTCTAAAGTAGGACAGACTCTAGAGCACCTGCAAGACATCGCCACTTTCATGGGACCTCCTGACACTCCTCTTAGTTTGATCCGGGGGCTGAGTACCTAAGCTTGAAAGAGAGATGCGGCTTTAGTTTTACCGACTCATAACCCTATCGAGTGTATTTCTAATCCCCTGACATCTAAGAAGGGGTTTAGGGTTTGGGCCCTGGCAGCGTGGTGGGAAAGGGTGTCAGAGCCCAGGTGGGTCCCAGAGTATATCGCAGGTGGACTGCCTTGCCCTAGGCGCGGGCAGCATTCGACGGATTTTTGGGGTGGGTTCGAGGTTCCGAATGGCTGCTCGAGCTTGACATTGGTGGGGATTGTTTTCCTGGCTATCATGACTCTTCGGGTGTTACGGGTCCATGTCATTTCTAGCCTTAATTCGGCTACTCTCGGTTTGAAATCCCTGCTTTGCTATGAGGGAAATCAGACCTTCAACTTCCAAGGAGCCTTAACCCAAAGCCGTGGCCCTAACCCGGCCCTCGCAACCCCGCCAAGAGCTTCTCTGTGGCTCCGCTTGAGGCCATATTTGGCGAACAATATTGCTTCTGTCTTCCTGTTGGAAAGAGCAATCTTGCTCTGATGGAACTCAAGGGCAAGAAAATGGTGGTGATGCCAACAGCTCCATGTGCCTGTATAGTAGATACTTAAGCCTCAAAGGGGTCCCCAAAAGGTACCTTAAGGCTAAAGACTTTAAGGCCTAAGTATATACTATATGGGCACCTGGAGCGTTAAAGGGGATGCAAGCTTGAAGTTGGCTTGGGATTCGCTACTGACTAGGCGGCAGATTCCAGATTCCGATGCCGAACAATTTCGGTAAGCACATCGTCTTTGCAGATCGCGCGCCTATCTGTACCACAGCAGGAAACAAGTTCCGCATCAGCGAGACTGAATGCCGGGAGCAGCACGTTGAAGCATCCATGCGGGACGCCCTGATGGACAGTCGTTTCAATTTCTTAAATTTGCATACCACAGGTCGTTGCCAGAAACGAGATCGCGGCCTGTCGTCCTTGTGGTCGGTGTGCTATGCCAGGTCTCATGGCCGGCGATGTGCCGATCCTGCGGCCGAAAGTCAAAGAGAGGGCCGCAAGCGCCTAAAGCCGAAAGCCCAAAACAGCTACAAGTAGCCATCACCTGGACCCCAAAAGTATGTAGAATAATGGCCCTTTACAGGTTTTGGACCATTTTTTTTACCTACTTTAGGGGGGTTTAGACAACCCAAATCCCGAAAGCTGAAAACCCCAGCAAGTTTCGTTTCCACGTAGAGGCTTCGGGGCTTCCTTGGGATCCCAATTTAGTTACACTATATAGCCGCCTACTCCCCGATCCCTGATGTAATTCTTAACGTATGGTAATATGTAGAGGTCCATGCATTTTTTGGAAGCAACGTTTTCCTCAGATCTTATTGGTGCTCCCAGGAAGCTCATGAGCCCAAAAACTCACAGCAGAAGGTCCACGGACTGCAGGAGTAGCACCAACTCTTGTTGAGCCGGCTCAGGGCTCATGGTTTAGGGTTTAGGGTTCAGGGATGCTGTTTCTTATCAACTTATATAGTGAAAGCTGAAAAGCCCTCTTTGATTATTATGACCAAGACTAGAAAGCCTAAACTTGCTTTGTCCCTTGGCACCGGGGAAGCAAGGCAATAGTTCATGGACTCCATCATTGCCCTCGAGATTCGCGTATACTATAACTGGGCTCTTGTTAAGGGCTTTAAGTTAAGTTACCATAATAAGGAGATTGTATTAATTACTATATAGATCCCTCTTATAGTAGCTTACAACGAAATTCCTGAACATGAGCCCAGGTAAATATACCCTAAACCCTAAACCCTAAACCCTAAACTCTAAACCCTAAACCCTAAACCCTAAACCCTAAACCCTAAACCTTAAACCCTAAACCCTAAACCCTAAACCTACAAAGATAACCCCCATCCTTTCAGGAAGCTGGTGGAGCCCTACAGTCGGCTAATGCAAGTTTTTTTATGGCCCCGATAGCCCCGAAAGCCTGAACCCAGAGCTCCCTGGACCCCCAAAGTATGTAGAATAATAGCCTTTTTATAGGTTTGGGGCCATTATTTTACCTACTTTTGGGGGGTCTAGGTCTATCTATTTCAGCTACTGCTACTTTTTCAGTCAGGGTTTCGAGTTTAGGCGCCCCTCTGCAGGTTGCTGCTTTGACACCGTTTGCACTTCGCCCCCGAACTTCGACGGGCGGATGACCCCAGGGTTCGCGCCGGAGGACAGGGTGCTTCTGCAGGGGTGGATCTAGGTCGGGTGTAGTGAGGTTTGGCGCTTAGGGGTTGGGTTTAGTTTAGGGTTTCGGATTTTGTCTAATGGCAGTTTTCTTGCAAGGGGTTCTTGGTTGAAGGGATTAAGAGCTTCAGGCTTTACAGGATTTGGTTTAGTGCCTCGGGGCTGTGGGGTTGTAGTTTAAGGCTTTAGGGCTGCAGCAACCTGGATCGTACACGCCATATTTCGGGCATCTGGTGAGCGGTGAGGGATGTTTCGGGTTTAGGGTTTAGGGCTGATTTTTGCAGGACGTGCTGACAAAGGTGGAGGGGATGGAGCAGACACCGCCCATCTCCTTCGTCAGTGGAGGTTCGAGCCTGAGCGTCGCGGGGTTTAGGGTTTAGGGTTTAGGGTTTAGGGTTTAGGGCTTTAGGGTTTAGGGTTTAGGGCTTTAGGGTTTAGGGTTTAGGGTTTAGGGCTTTAGGGTTTAGGGTTTAGGGCTTTAGGGTTTAGGGTTTAGGGTTTATTGCATGCCAGGTTTTGCGGTTTAGACTCTCCAGTAGCCTCCAGTGCTATGGGAAAGTGGGCTGCGAGACCTTGATTCGAAGGCAAAACTCCGAAAAGAAACAGTGGGATTGTCGTCAGAAAGACTAACAATACTAGTAATAATACAAATAATAAGAATAATAGTGATAATATTAAGAATAATATTAATAAGAATAACAATAAGAATATGGTTAATAAGAATAATAATAAGAATATAGGTAATAAGAATACTAATAATAACAGTAATCATAATAAACGAAAAGTAAAGGCCTGAATAGTTGGGACTACTTTCGCCAGAGGTTCCTTATTGCATTTTTGTAGTTCATGATTATCATCACCCCGCAAACCCTATGCCTCCAGGGACCTTATTATGGGGTCCTTAAGGGGTCTAGGGCCCTAACTATGAGGTCCTTGGAGGGACAGGGAAAATTTTACCATGCATCCAGAGCCCTAAGCCCCAAGCGCTAAACCGTAAACCCTGCCAGGGACGGAGCGGTGTTGCTTTCCGAACATCCGCGTCATGTCAACGCTGGACTGCGAGCTTTCTGTTCTTAGGGATCCCAAAAGGACATAAGCATAAGCAGTTTATAGGGACATCCCTACCTACCTTATTGGGCTTCATGTAAGCATTTTATAGGGATATTCCCCTTATTGGGCTTCATGTAAGCATTCTATAGGGATATCTTTACCTTGTTGGGCTTCATTATAAGGGGCTTTACAGGTCTTATGCCAGTTCGCCATCTTGGGAAGATCAGAGGCTGTAGGTTTAGAGATTTTTAGATTTGTGCGTTGCTTGTTTTTCGGTGTCTTTTCGAGTTTAGGGCTCGCGCTGGAAGTAGGAGCTTGCCGACTCTCACTATGTTGGTCAAATGCAATGTATCAATTGTGCAAGGTTTTCCTCTGCACAAGCGCTTAGAACCCGAACTCACAAAGCTTAGCCCGAGCGCTACAGTTTCGAACCTTGGATAAAGCCGCTCTGCACTCGAGTTTCGAGCCAGCTGGCTTCTGGTTTCACGGCTTTGGGCTTGACGAGCCCCTCGTCTTCAACTTCAAGGGCATTAATATTTGGATCCTAGTAAAACCCTCTAGACGGAGGGGTTCATGAATTCGGTGTCTACGCTAAGGTGACAGATTTTGGCAGGGCCCAATTCCCAAGACTAAGATCAAAACCAAATATACGACGCCTATAGGGCCTAAACCGAAAGCCTATAAACCCTAAATCCTACGCCCTAGACCCTAAACCGAAAAAAAGCCCTAAACCCTGAGCCCAACACCCTGAACCCTAAACCCTCGACCCCGAACCCTACAAGCATCTTTGCGAGGACGTCCTGGAGGCTCCTCAGGGATTGGCCCTCGACAGCACCAACCGGCTGCCGGATGCCCGGATTTGTCTGTCGCTGGCTTTTTTGAAACTTAGCATAGCAGGCTAAGGGTCTAGGGCTGTCGGCGTCATAAGGTTCAGTTTTTGGGCTTTGGGGTTTCAGTTTCACTGCTTCTTCTGGAGCTTTCTTCTTTCAGGGCTGAAGAGCATGTAAGGTCCCCCTTGTGCCGCTTTCAAATACTTACTGCGAAGTCATGATATGCTTTGCCGCCGGACATACCCCAAAACTTCGACCCCGAAATTCGCTTGAGCCATGCCCCACCTAACATCTCAAGTTTACGTTTCAGCTGATGTCGGGATTGGATGGTTATCAACACTATGCCTCAGAGGAGGTTCCTAAATACAGCATTACATCCCCTGCTGTGACAATGAAGACCCCGATATTAACTTCAACACGGAGTCCTCAAAGTCCCTAACCTTATAGGATCCTTAAGGGGGGGTGGTTCAAGGGGGGAGGGTACTAGGGAGCTTTGGGGAACCTTAGGGAAGCTTAGGGAGTATTGGGGAATAATGGGGATTACTAGGTTACCTACCCCCCTTGGACCACCCCCCCTTAAGGACATCCTAATAACCTGGGTCCTCCCCCTTCAACTTCCCTATGTCATCGCGGCCCTCGGCTGAAAACCAACAATGACAACACCTAGAGCAAAACACTACAGTACATCCTACAGCCCCAAACCTTGGGCACGGCCCCCACTCAGGAATAGTTGAGTAATATTCATAATACAGATAGAGTAGGACCTTAATAGTAGCCCTATTATAGACTCTTACTGTATGGGGGCCGTACCTAACCTAAATCCTACAGCCTTCAACGCCTTTCGTGAGCTTCGACGTGTCGTACATGACCCTGCGATTGGGCCTGCCCCAAGGCTCTATGTGTCCCAGGCGAATTCACATCGGGTGGTGCGGGCCTTACCATCTTCTTTGGGGTATAGGGGGAAGGGTGAAGGGTTTAGATATTTTTCCAGCCACAGTCAATGCCAGAGCTCAAACGGTATGATGTCATAGGTTGCCGTATAAAGACCATCTCATGGCCCCTAGTAGCGTCCATGTGCTGCTGGGTTTGTTTTAGGCATATTGGCCGCAGCTCACATAATTCGTCTCGGGATCACCCTCGATTCGCTTAACAAAGGGCGAAAAAAGCAACCCTAAACCCTAAGGTTGGGAACGAAGACGAACCGTCCGGCTGAATTTTAGACCTTCGTGCCCACCTCAGTTTAGGGTCTATAGGGCAAAGAGTCCAGAACTCAGAACCCCCCCCCCCGAAAAGAGCACGGCAAGACTCCAGGCCCTGCCGCGAGCCCCACCTGCTCTTTTTGAAGATGACAAGGCCACAATACCTGCAATCCTGCAACCCTGAATGGGACGGCCGCCTTGAACCTGAAGCCTTATAAACACATCCGAAGCCCCAAGCCCGTGGTGTTCCAGGGGATGTTGTTATTAAATGCCAGTGCGGCTATCCAGATGGGGGTTTCCGAAAACAGGGGACCCCAATATAGTACCCCACCCCAAATATTAATCATTTTGACCCCTATATCTACCACTACACACGACCCGAGACTGTGCGCCGGATTGGCACAGGTGCGCATCCATTTGGACCAGGGGCGATGTACAGCCGAGCCCTTGGAGTTTGCGATGTTACCATCACCGTTTCAGGGCTTAGGTTTTGGGCTGTATACAGGGGTCTTCTGAAAGGAGCGCTGGCACTGCGCCAGCGCCAATGCCTTCGGACAGACGTGTTTTCCAATGTATCGAAGCTAGCGGCCGCTCTTTTGTGGTGTGTCCCCATTGTTTCGTGCCTGATAGTTGTTCGAAGGTAGTTGTCCCCAGAATCCCTAAACCCAATAAGCTCCATTCTGTAAGCCCAGCCTCCCTTCTCGGTGAGGGTCCCCTCGTTGTAAGGAAGTGTGTTCCAATTTGGTTGGATCTCCTTTGAAGGGACATTGACTTAGGGCCTTAGGGGTACTTAGAAATCATTTTTAGTTTTTGGTTATAATAATCCCTAAGAAACAGCAAAAATTGTAACATTTGCTAGGGTTCTAAGTTCAGTATAGTTGAGAAGAACCCCGCCTGCTTGAATCCTGCAGGAGACTTCACTTGAATGACCAAGGACCATAGAAGCTAAGATGAACCTCAGATCGTTGGAACAACCTTACAAAGAGCAATTACCGTTGCTACGAAGCCGCCTGGCCTTTCGTCGCCAAGATCTCAAACTGCTGGATGCAATCGTTCCCCAAGCAGGATAAGGATCCATCACTAGGTCTCCAAGCAGGCCTTTTCCTCTTTGTGTGGTCTCCAGTAGCAAAAACAGGGAGGCCGTTTTGGCTTAGGGGTACTTAGAAATAATTCTGATTTTTTGTTATTATAATCCCTAAGAAACAGCTAAAATTCTAATTTTTGCTAGGGTTCTAAGTTCAGTATAGTTGCTAGTTGCTAGGGATCCTAGAGAAGAGAAGTCTGCGCGGCTGTCTGCCCCCACTTGGAGGATCATGGGACTTAGTAAGGTCATAAGTACCCTAATTGGGGTTATAAGTATAGTTACCCTAATTCTAACCCTAGTTACTAAGTCCCATGATCCTCTAAGTAAACCCTAACCCCTATAGATCCCTTTAGGGAGCCCTATACATCCCTTTAAAGAGCCCTTTAAGGAACCCTAGTTACTAAGTCCCATGATCCTTTAAGCACACCGACTGATCCTGGCTTCTGCTGAAGCCTTGGAGTCCTTGCAACAAGGCCAAAAAAGGGTCCAAAGGACCCAAGAGTTAGGTACCCAGAGAGCCCAATACCCTTTAATTAAGGAATATAGCTTAAATCATATTCTGCGCCCCCTTATAATTTAAGCTATATTCCTTAATTAAGGGGTATTGGGCTCTCTGGGTATTTAGTTTTCGGAGAACCTACATGGGGGTTTCCGAAAGGGACCTTGATATAGTACCCCAAATAGTAGGATCCTTATTACAAGGACCCCTAAATAAGGTACCCCTATTTTCGGAAACTCCCACATAATATGTAGGTATTCGGGAGAGTATGTGATTATTAGGCACTTGGACGCTTGGGGAGGCTTAAAAGGACCCAATGCAACTACTGCAGGGCCTTAGGGGTCGAACAAGTGACAAAATTTGTTCCTTGAGGTATTCTTTAGGGCTTCTGATTATACTAGACTATACCCTAACACCCTACGTAGGACCCGCCCAACTACCCCGTGAACTACTCCCCCCAGCTTTGGGTTAACCTAATGCCCGATGCACCCTTCACGCTTGATGGCTCCTCCTACGCATGTGTTAAGATGGCGTCGGGAAGCTATCCTCTGCCGCGTATTGCAGTAGCGTCATCGCAAGTTTGTCGCTAAATTCTCGCAACCAAAACCCCAAACCCGGTATGCCGGTAAGCCCTATTGAATCGCAACTCCAATCCCAAACCGCAGCAGCCTTATATAACCCGAAACCGTACAGTCTAGAAGCCCCATTAGGTTGCCGGAAACGACGACGTTTGCTGAGGCGGCTCGGTAAAGGCCGGATGGGTTCACGGCTTAGGGTTGCAATATCTTATCCAGAACGGGGGTCGCAGTGAATTGGTAGTAGACTTCATTGAATATTCCCTGTATCGTTATGCTATTATATAACTACCTCATCGTCGAACTATGCCATCCACTATAGTACTATAGGTTCTTACAGGGTAGCTTGCGCTGGAGGTTCTGGAGGGCACCGATATTCTTGCAGAGTGCGTGAGGCGGTTTGCCACATATTAACCAGCATAACTACTATCCCAAACCCAAGTAGTACCTTGTTATTGGGTCCTTCGGACCCTTAGGGGAACGCTTTCTATATATATATATATATATATATATATAGATATGTATGTATGTATGTATGTGTATATATATATATATATCTTGGTTGTATGTTTGGTAACCTGCTACCGTCTTTAATAAAGCAACTGGAGCCCTGGGTTAACGTTGCGAAAAAAGCCCCAAGGCAGGCGACAAAAACCTGAAAGGTGGAACCCAAAAACCTAGATATCAAACGGAACTTCTTGGAGGGTCGGGGGACTTAGTAACTGGTTATTTTAGGGACTTATAAGTACCATAACCCCAATTAGGGTCCCTTTTAGGGTACTTATAAGTCTACTTACTACCTACTTACTAAGTCCCCCGACCCTCCAAGTTGGCCATCTTACTGTAACTCTTTAGGCTTTGAGCCTTGACTTTGAGTCCCAAAAACATGAATCAGTATATCACCCTAAGGGTCCATGTACCCATATAGAGATACATCAGCCCCAAAGTACCTATATAGGGACTACATGAAGGCCGATGTATATACTATATGAGTACATGGACCCTTGGGGTCAAGCCCTAAACCCTAAACTCTACCTAAAGCCCTACAGTCGCAAAGCCCAAGGTCGCGTGTTAATGACACCACGGGGGCCATGATGAGCTGCCCAAGGCAGCGGATTTGTAGACCCGCGTACGCATCAAGGCCTTGGCAAGGCTTGCGGGCTTTGAGATGGCATAGAAAAAGCTCTCGATTCCTGCACTATCCTTGCACGCTGATTTCTAGCTTCAGTCGGGGTCAGACTTTCTCCATCGGGCTCTCAATACTGAATGGGTAGCTGTCAAAATTAGGGTCCCTTTTGGGGTAACCTAAATATTAGGTTCCGTGTTAGAATCAGGAGCCGAAAAGGGGCCATAATTCGACAACCACCCGAATGATGCTGGACGTCCTGCCACCTTTGAACGGTGCATCCTTTTGGGGCTTATGGGCTCTTAGAGTTGAAGGAGTCTGCCCAAAGGCTCCATGTACCCATATCGTCTATACTTATGGGCCTGAAGGTACCTATATAGGGACCCCTTTAAGGCTCAAGTATGTATATACTATAAAGTAAAAGCCAGAAAGTTGGAATATGATTATCCTAAACCCTTTGTGGTAAATTACAAGGTATCCTACCCTGAAACCATATTCCAACTTTCTGGAGTTCCCTTAACGGTATATGGAGCCTTTGGGTGGGGGATTCAAGACCCTGGCGGGCGGCGCCGAGGCTGGCCTACATCTCGCCCTGGGCGCTGGCGAACTGCTGTGCCTTCTCACGGTTTAGGGTTCACTTAGGGGTACTTAGAAATCATTTTTAATTTTCGGTTATTATAATCCCTAAGAAACAGCTAAAATTAAAGTTTTTGCTAGGGTTCTAAGTTCAGTATAGTTCAGGGCTTAGGGTTACCATCCTCCCCATACACTGAAGCACAAGCGCTTTAGACATGCAGACATTCCTTGTGTTGCATAGCTGTGTATAAGGTTTAAGGTGCGGGCAACTACAGGTTCCATGTTGATGCTATGAGGTCTACAAAATATTTTGGACGTAGATTTAAAAGCCCCTGAAGCGTCAACATAAAGCGGGATGGCCGCAACATGAAACCCGAAGTCCGTTCTACGCACCGTCACGATCTGCATACACAGTCGAACACATTTCGGTAGTGTAAACATAGACGGCCCTTAATAGAAGCCCCACTGTAGATTGCTACTGTATCGGGGGGCAGTACTCAAAGGCATACACCTGTCCATCTGACCTCTTAAGGCATGTCGCACCCGCGGCCGTGGCTCTACTGCAGGAGCACCGTCATCTTTCCCTCCTGTGCATACTGAAGCACAAGCACAGTCCGGGGCTGCGGGGGTTAGGGTTTGATAGTCCGGCACCTCAAAGCCTTCTGTGATGTCGCGGCGGAAGCACGTGGTGTGATGCTTTTGCTTAGGGGTTTACCTTGGGAACTTCAACTCTGCTTAGAGGATGAGGGGGCTTAGCAGGTAATGTAATGTTGAAGCCTGATTAAGAAACCTTGGGCCTTTATTAGCGTTCCTTATATCATTGCCCTTTTGCACCGAACCAGAACCACAGGGTTTAGATCCACAGGGCTTGTTCGACAGATTTGGCTTTTAAAAACTTTTACAGACTTTTAAAACTTTAAAATGCAAGAAAAAAACCTTGTAAAAACTTAACTATTTAAAAAGATTAAATATTAACTTCAACAACAAATAAACAACAAATTTGTAGACATACAACAGCAGGAAACCAGGTAGAACAACAGGAAGCCATTTGACTCAATCAGAAACAAAAACTCATAATTCACAAACATGTATTTGTTTACACCAAAAATAAAATAATAGAATTTTAACAACTGTAAAACACCAAAAAATATGTAAAAAAACTTTTAAATACAAAACAACACATTTAAATACACAAAAAACTTTTAAACACAAATAAAGCCAACCACTAACAAAAATAAGATTTTGGGTTCCTTTCATATAAGCCTTGTTGATCTAAACCCTGTGGTTCTGGTTCCGCGCAAAAGGTCAAGGATTATATGACTGCTACTATTTGGGGGTTAAATGGCCCAAGGTTTCTTAATCAGGTTCCTACATCAGGGTTGCAAGATATTACAAGCAAGGTGGCAGACCTAGTTTGGCTCTCTCATCTCTCTCCATGCCCACAAGACTCTTGCAATGCCCCAGGCGCGAAGCACAGAAATACTTATTGTATGGTATAATTGATGTGTGTGTGTGCGCATATATATGACTGTTAAGCATATACAAAACTTTTGCACTGCATACTGAGTTATCTATTATGTTCTGTTCTATATCTAAACCCTAGATGCCCGAAGCCAAACCTTCACATTGAGCTCTGCTTTGAGGTTTCGAATTTGAGTGTTTAGTGCTTAGGGCGCAAAATTTGTATGTAAGGATGGTCGCGTTTAGGGCTTAGGGTTCGCATGTTCAGGGTATGAGGTTTCGAAGTTGAGGGTGTGGGTTTCAAATTCGGGGTTAAAGCTGACACAGTTGAGGCCCGGAAGTGCATCAGCAAAGCTTTGAGCCGTCGGTCTTTTTCCGGCAAATATGTCCTGGAGTCTAAGTGGATCCTTAAACCGAAACCGTACACCAGGAGATATGGCCTCAAGTTCGTGAGGGCCTTGAACGCCTCCGAGGTTCCGGTGAGTCGCGCGCCCAACTGTGGGAAGGTCACATAGGGCCTCAAAACCTAGAGGAGGGTTACTCTAATGGGTTCCTTCTACAGCGTTCTATGCGGGTTCCTACGAGGGTTACCGTAAGGGCTGAAAGATTTCATGTAGGGCCTTCATGATTTGGAGGCGGTTTTTTAGGGGAAATGGAAATCTGGGTCATAGGAGGAACCTCAACGAATTGTATCGCTATTTTCTTTTGGTTATAGTAGGCGCTCCAGGTGTCGGATCTCGGTTTATCAGCATGTAGGGTTTGAGGTGACTTGGCCGTGTGGGTCAAAGAGCCATTGGCCAGTTTGTTCTCTCCCTAGGGTTGGATGCATGGGCGTCAAGAGCAATTCGCTCCTTAGCGCGTGCGGGTGGGATTGCTTGGACCCTGACGAGACGGAGCACATTTGATTGCTCAAGTTGGCTAAGAGTTTTCGAAGTACCTCACAGCAATCCCCCTGCCTGGCAACATGGCTTGAATCATAACATGCTTCTTCGATTCAGGGTTTTCCAGTGCAAGTATAGCATGGTCTACCCCCTCCACCATGCTGAAATCATTCAGGCCTGCATATGAGCCCCCCAAACCCGTGAAGACCGAAAGCAAAAGCGCCAAGAGCTCCAATTAAGCCATGAGTTGGTTGTCGTCAGTCGTCAGACCGTGCCATTTTGCCTTCGAGATCTGCTGAGTCACTGCCGAGCCGATGCTGTTGGAATTGGTCGCGGATTCAGCCTATGCTGGCTATCTTGCGTGGGTATCGACATTCACAGTTGACAAGAGTGTTGGAATTTACAATCGCATTTAGGACGTGAGGGCGACATCCCAGGTGGCTTCGAGAATCCAGAGGGCTTTCAGAGTTCACCTCAAGAGCTGTTGGGCATGGCAATTTCAATCTTTGCGGGACGAGGCCGCGCTGCGAAATGTTTCAATTTATCGTGTCGTGGACAGAGTCACGTTGCCGATGAAGAGGCTTGCAGCGGTTAGGACTGTACAGTCGTGGTGCAAAGCACGGTGGCGAGAGGCTGCTCTCCCGAATGATTGGGGCAGTGAGTGCGATGACGCTTCAAGCAGTGATGATACGTCTGACTCTGACTCTGAAATTCATGACGTGGCTGCCACATCTGCGAACGTGATGCAGGAAACACTCATCACAACCAAAGTCGACCCTGGCACACGCATTGGCAAAGACACCCTGCGGCTGGTTCTCGCGCGCCTCGACGGGGGTAGCGGAGAAGTTGAAGAACATGTCGAGCCAGGCATTGTAATCAAAGAAGCATTGCAGACACAAGTCTTGTTTGCAGCTCTGAGGCTTTCGGGGCGATTGAAAATAGTCGCTGGCTTCCAACTGAAAAAGTTGCGGGGGCCCGGTTTGGAACTGCTCAGCTGCGGATCGCTTCGGCGTTCCGGAGGCGGCAGGGCCGTCCTGCAGGCGGCCGTGGCGCACGCTCGCCAGGCAATGGTGCCTTTTTTGATATTGAAGCCATTGTATTCCGAACGTGGCGACGCA